GGAGGAGTCTGAATTCGGAATAAAAGGTTCTACGGACTGAGAGCTCGGCAACATACTCCAATTTGCTCTTTTTAGGCGGCCACGATCATTAATTTGTAATTAAAAATGCTTTGACTTTCTTATACTATTCCAAGAAAGCCAAGAAGATATTGACGGGGAGGTGTTCTACCTTAGCGAGGAACTACAGATTGATGAACAGGAAATCCTATTCCACCGTGACCAGGTTGCTACTTCAAGATATTTATCTTATATTATAAAATACCAATGTTAACGTAATACTCCCAGAAAGAAGGCTGAGCGAAGAAGAAGACGTAAACAGAGCGCTAGCTACATTTTGGAGGATTGTTTCGTCTATATACTTGCAACATTGATCGTAACTATTTTATTATTTCATAAAAGTAGCAAAGATAAGTATCAAAAAGGAAAGGGAATGTTGTAATGAGAGTATAGCTCTTTGAGAACCTTCATTGTAAACATCAACACCTTTTTAAGGGTCGAAACTCAGCCTGGTAGTAAGTAAGTCCTCTCCTATCCGAGCTTCCAAATGCAATTCAATCTGATCTGATGTGAGAACCTACAGTCAAGTGATCTTAGACCCCTTACTGTACAGGGTTTATGACGGAAGATGATTGATCGTCAGCTGCATACCTGAAATCGGCTTTAGATAGAGTATTAATTAAATCTTCACCGAAACTCTTTCGAGTTAAAACTCTAAAAACGATTTTATTACATAAAAATTTAAATTATAGGTTTAAATATATAATTTTATTACATAATATATACATATGTAATTTTCAAAGCAAACTAGTGATTTGCCATGAGAATTTTTTGGAGATTCAAACTTTGTGGGAAAGAAATTTTTATTACTTCTGTAAGTTAAGCTTTAATGACACAATTACATACTCAATCATACATACATACTCGAGCATATATACGTACATTTCATTCCATCTGAATTGTGACGTGACTTAGTAAATAAGACATCGCAATAAGAAATTAAGAAAACAATGCAGACAGAAGAACACGTAACCAAACCAAACCTAACGAAAAGTATTTGATATGTAAGACATGCACAAATACATACATACCTATATACATACATATATATACATTAGGAATAGGAACAATAGAGGGAAAGAGAAGCTTAGCTGGAGTCGAATATTAGATAACCACCGATATTAGTTAGGAAAGAATTCTGTAGAGCAGCTATATCCGCAATAGTCCTCATTTTCATATAATACTTGGGTCGATCAACAACCAACAATTTTAGAAAATTAATTTTTCTAATTGCGGTGGCCCCTCAGCACAGAATATCAGGCCCTCCGAGTGGATTTTCGCCCGAAGTCGCCTCCATTTGTTGGAAAAACATCAAAACGCAAAATCACAAATTGTAGGAGGAGCTCGGCCAAAAATTGCTTCAGCGGCTAACGGGCGCATACTTCATTCAAAGGGATCTCTTCCAGCTAATCCATTTGGGGTACTGGGTATTTATGCTATAATCAAAAATTTCAAGGGTAGATTTTATAATAACTCTCACAAGCCGGTTTAAGGAACAAAACAGAAAATTCTTAGTTTAGGACTAAGTTAAGTACAGTAAAAAGCGGTTGCTAATTTGTAAGCGTAAATTCAGAGCCAAAACATTGCTCCGGCTTTATGGCTGCGTTTCCATTCGTTTGGACTTCTTCAGTATCTGTTGGAAAGAGTGATTTTGTGTTGGAATGCAATCTAATCCTAGGTCTAATTCTGTTTAAAGCAGTACAATCGCAGGTGTAAAATCATCTTCAGATTCTCATTATTTATACTCCTCCAAAAGCATCTTTTGAAAGGAGCCACAGGTGGGTTCAAATCACCTTTGAAATGTCCTCGTTTCTCTGAGAGTATAATCCATACGGTCGCATACGCTCTTATAATTGCCAAGCTGTCATTGACATGCCACAGCTCGTGTCTCGTTTCTTCTTGGTACTTGGTCAAAACTTGGCTAACAAGTTCGACATCCTTACAGTCCCCCTCTATGTAAACGGGCTAAGATATCCAAACGAGAGATAGTATGTTCTGTTTAGTCAGTTTCTGAAGAGTTCCATAACGATGTTAGAGGTTAACGTAATCGAGATATGGATGTTCTATTGCCCGACTGTGAAGAAGTTCGAATCAGTCGCCCGCGCAAAACACAACAATGCGGCGGAGGCCAAAGAATTACCGACCTAGTGATTCAACTGATCGAATGAACCCATGCTTGATGATTGGGACTTAAGTAGTCTCGTGCAATTATATCACAGACTAGATATTCAACATGCGCCGAATCTTGGAAGGGGCGGACCTCTCCGAGTCGTTCGATACCAAACGATGTGATTCCTACCTTTCTACCTACTAATTTAATTTATTTCTGGAGAAGTGCTGCGGTCTGTGGTGTTCGGTTGAAAAGTATAACTGTTATTCAATGCCATAAATCTAGAAATGGTGATGTCTGTCTCGTCAATCTAATCTAAAAATAATTCAACACCGAGAAGGAGCCAGGTTAATCATACTTTAAACCACTTATTCTAAATTCACTCGTCTACGTAATAACAGAGTTATCGTCTTGGTACTTATTCTTCTGATTCAGTTCTTGAGGCAACGAAGTATAAAATCTCCAAATATCTATTTACTAAGGAAATCTGGTGGATTTTAATTTAATAGATCAAAAGCGACATAAGTAGATTGCTCAAACTCGTTTTGATACCCCCGGTTGGAATTTTTTAACGTCTTCGAAAGCTTTTTTTAACGCCATAAATTTTTCATTTTTTTAGAAAGAATGAAGAATCAGTATGCTCTAAGCAGCAATTCTTATATTATCCCATTCCCCCAAAAGTTCCTACCGTCATATCCTGAACAAACACACAATTCCATATGACTTATACACATATATTATATATTACTTAATATGCGTGCATACATATGTACATATATTCAAAGAATTTCGCACGACCTTTGAGCTCCATCACGAAGCATATCAGTTAAATACTCGCCCAGCAAGTCACATTTCAAGGTCGCTAGAATAATAAAAACCATATTCGAAGTAAAGACATGCTAAACACGCCTTTTCGGCTGTTTATGTAACATATATATGTACACACATACATACACGTACATATTGTAATGATAATGAGGAGTGGGCTTAGCAGTAACAAATCGCTTTGGGGTTTCGTAAACACACCAGAAGAAACGCAACTTAATTGAAGCGCCACAGTCACGCAGTCTGCCAGGAAATCCACTATATGCCTATGTATGTGTATATGTAGGTATTTATAATGTTTTGTTATATCCTGCAGAAAAAGAAACAACATCTACTTTAATATTGAATAGCTACCGGCGATTGCTTTCTACTTCGCAATTTTCCACAATGACGCGATAATATTTTTACGTATTTGTATATATGTACCTGCATATAGTATGTATTTACATAACTGAAGTCATTAGATTTTCACACACATCTGGACCTTCAGCAAGAGGCCGGGAAGTCAACATCTGGCCAGAAGAAAAGACCAATGGTTACAGTGAGGATATGCCCTTATCTATACTAAAGGGTCAAAATGCAAGGTATTCGCAGAAATCGGGCGCCGCTGAGATCGTCCCACTAACCAAAGTAACTTCAAACTCACTTGGACTAGAACTCTATCTTCAAACCAGAGAATATGGGTTTTGCTGCTCTTATGAGAGAATCTATTAGGGCCCTTATAAACAGCCATGTAGCAATTGGAGGCCACTAAGAGACTTTTGAGGGAAAACACAGTGAATATCACATGGGCCTCAGGTCACACGGATTTAGAACACCATGAATAATAAAAGAAAAGAAGGCTGGATCGCCCTGGCAATGCTGGCAAGCTTGTCCCCAAGCGACTCTTCAGCGTTTTCAGAAGTTGTCCAAAACAGCTGTCAGCTTTAGCCTTACGGAGGTGCGCACGCATGGCTGGAAAGCATAAAAGAGTACATAAAATCTCTAGAACTGTACCCAAACCGTCAGATCCTCAACCACGCTTTCAAGCAACCATAAAAAATTGATGTTTTTAAAACATATTTTGTTAAATGATTTTTTTCAAACGAGTGAAAGCGATAAGATTTTTCAAAATTTAGAACAAATTGAGAGCACAAAGTGCAAGAGTTAGCCGTCCTTCTTAGACTTGAACAACAGCCGCTTGTAAACAACGGAGTTAAACCTAATTTTCCTATCCATCCAAGGTAAGCGCAACATCGAGGTCAACTCCTAATGTGATGTCTTGTGAAACGTCTCAGACTATAATCTCCCACACGGGAAGTAGCTGTAAGATTGTCTCTTCATCGCCAACGAATGGTATCCAGGCTTGCCTTATTCTATGTACAATATTCTGAGCCTTTCAAAAATTTACCGGAAAACATTAGTCATTTTGGCATTATTGTGCTCAACAACCACGCCGTGATTTCTCTTTTTCTCCAGACTGGATAAGAATGTGAAGAGTATGGGTGTGGTAATGGTCCTTTGTGTATAGACGACAGCGAGTACCGCAGTCGATGGAACGATGAGCTATACGAGATATACACGATATGGACAGCGGCTACACTGGCTAGGTCATGTGGTCCGTATAAATAAGAATGCCCCCGCTTTGAAAGTTTTCGATACAATACCCGCCGGTGGCAAGACAGCAAGAGGAAGGAATGAATGGAAGAAGTAAACTAAGCTTTTCTCCGTCGAAAAGATGCCAACTTAAAATACGGCATAAATGCAATGCTTCTAAACTTCGTCCGATCCACTGAGACCGGTGAAAGACAGTGTTTTTATGAGGACGTAAATTGGCAAGATTTCTCAAAACCGATTTTGGTATCGAGGATGCCAGAAATGTCGTAGGCAATGTGTGCTTTTCCTTAACCGTTACAACTTCAAAACGTACCTATTCCAATATATGTATCAATAAATAAGTAAAAACGTGAAAAGTGGCAACCCTACTGAAAAAAAAAATTTGTCAATTACACTTTCTTTTTGAAATTTCTAATTTTGTCTATTTTCAATTCTCTTTTCATTGTAATTCGAAAAAAAAAATTAAAATCAAATTTTCTATTAAAAACCAACATTCTTAACCATGGGTGTTCCAACGGGAAATGCGGAAAATGGAAAGAAAATTTTCATACAAAAATGTGCCCAATGTCATCCCATTGAGAAGGGAGCACGACACAAAGTCGGACCCAATCTTTTCGGTGTGGTTGGACGGAAGAGTGGTTCCTTTGCTGACTACAAATACACCGATGCTAATAAAAATAAGGGTGTTACTTGGACGGACGATGCGCTATTTGAGTATCTGGAGAACCCCAAGAAATTCATACCAGGTACGAAAATGGTTTTCGCAGGGCTGAAGAAAGCTGCAGAGCGGGCCGATATTATTGCGTATTTAAAAACCGCTAAGTAAAATTACATATGTACATACATACATATTTCTATTAATGATGTCATGGCGTTTAAACAAATTTATCTATGGATATTGAATGCTTAATAAATTATATAAATTATAAATAATAGATAAATTGAATTATATGTATGTATATTAATTATGCTCTCAAATCGCGATCTCTTTTTTGGTTGCCGACATTCAGCGGGAATCCGTCGAAAAAAGTTTAAACTGTTAATTTTCTCTCGGAGTTTATGAACCTCGTTGACGCGAAATAGCTGACGAAACGAAGGATTGAAAAGGACACAAATCTCGTAAGGGTCAACCAGGCCATATTCGCTATTTCTCGAACTCCACAAACACCTTCCAAACAGGAGACCTGTTGCACAGCAGGTCAACTGAAAACCAATTTTGCGCACCAGCACCGGCAGCGATCGCATTCCTGGTTAGGTTGTAGTAAAAGCAACTGTTGATGAGTCAGCTTTTGATTACACGGGGCGATTTCCACCTCCAATTTCTATTGTGCGTCTTGATGTTTTTCCAACAAATGGGAGAGCCTACAGATTATTCGATGCCACCTCCGAGCGGCTGGTGCTTTGTCAGAAATACCCTCAGAGTGGTTAACATTCCCTGCCGCAATTAGAAAAATTAACTTAATTTCTGTAATTTTTTGAATCTTGGCCCGACCGGGACGCTATGCTTGGCATTCCGAATGGCTGTGAGGGTCGTCGTTAATATTGGATTATATAAGCGATTTTTTTAATGGAGAGAACGGCGGTTCCATAACAATTTTTCCCAAATTTTTCATTAGACGATGCCTCAATTTAATCTCTCGAACTTAACAGTCTTATTCTACAGCGAATCCCAAAAAGCAAAATGTATACTACTAAAAACCAAAAAAAATCTCTTGAAGCACCGAGTTCTTTTCTTTTACTTGGTTGTCCGGCTGATTGGTTGAAAGGATCCGACCGCCGGATGGCCGCACCTAAGCCATTGAATAGGCTTAATACGCATTACAGCTTTTCCCAATAAATCTTTTGCGTACTGTTCGCTCAATTTGATAAATTGTTTCAGTTCTTTCCACCCATGCGTAGCCATCTCCGTCAGGTTGGAGCTCGGAGCACCGTGAAAGATTGCACATCTTAATCGGCGGAAGGCCGGGCCCTAGCAAACGTAATGCTCCAGCATGTCTCATTATCCTCTCTGCAAGCCCTTTACTCTGCCAACTCTATCTTACCTAGCTTCTGGAGGTGATATCTTAAGGGTAAAAGCGCCGTTAGTTAACCTATAAGAATACCATTACCTTCTGCATTCGTGTTACCTGGCGCCCAAGTGATATTCACAGTGTTAGCCCGTGATAATCTGTTTATTGCCTCTTTGCATGTTCTCACACACTTAGACTTTGTGTTGACAAATTTAATTGCTCTAATTGCTGGTTAGCTGTCTACAAGAAATCTAAAAGATTTCCCCTTTAAAGCAAATGCTCCTTTTGGCGCTTTCTGTTAGAAGGACGGAGTTGTAGTCATTTACTTTAAAGCTACCGTGACTGTTGGTTCAGTCACATAGCACCCCTACTCCTGTGTCAAAATGAGTACCGTACGAGTAGAATCTTTTAACTCTCCTTAGTTGCTTCCAATAATAGATCGCTGAAATCTAAAATGGTTTAATTCACCATCCCTTAAGTCTCAAAACTCACTAAAGAAAAAGCGTAACACTAGAAATTATAACTAGCAATAGGGGAGTACTTTTTCAATGAAGTGCAGGGTAACCATATAGGAGTAATATCCCTCTGGTCCGATCCCGTCGAAAAAGCACATTTCCTGGACCAGCGACAAGTAACCTGTAACAAGTAAAGTATATTTTGGAGAATGTTGCGGGAGTGACATTCAGAACCCTTAACCCGCAGGGTATCTGGTCCTCCCGTTAGATGACCTCGGTGACTTAGATTAGTTTTAAGCCTGTTCCTAAACGTGGTTAACGTAGACGCTACAACAACAACAATAGGGGTAATTTTTATTATTACAAGCTCTCATAGTCTACCATTTGAAACCTTCTCTTAGCTAACTACAATTACCACAAATTTCCCGCTTAGAACTTAGAAATAAATTAATTTTAATAAAAAATACAAAATTAATTTCCATACGAAGAAATTTGAGCAGCAGCAGCTAACAATTTATAACAAAAGCCGATAGTGTGCTCATTGGCTAAGCCCGTCAGTGTTGCTTTACAAGTTTTCCAACTGTCAATGCCCACTGTTGCTTTTTGCTGGAAGCCAGCTGATATTGGCGCGATGAATTTCACATGGCCTGCTAAAATTTAGTCGAGTTGTATTTGTGTTCAATGTAAGTACAATAATTATTTGTAGTGATCCGAATAAATTCTGGAAAATTTTCGTTAATTATGTATATCTGTATAATATGCAATAAAAGGTGTATGTGGGTGTGCCAAATTATTATTAACTGCTACTATAACGTAATATAGTTTTAAATTACTACGAAAAAAACTTAGCAAAAATCGTAGAGAAAAGTGAAACTGGAAATTGTTTAAAAAATCTATTACATAAGCAAATACAGCGATTGCAAAGTGCGAAAAAATTGTTGTATGTATGTATACGATGGAGGTTTCCTAGAACAAGATAGGGGTTGATAAATCTTACATAAAAAGTGTATATGGCAACTCGTGAGGCGAGGAAAATTAGTGAAATGAAGTTAATTGAGGAAATTTACAACTAATAAAGTATTATTTCTATTTTTACTGAGAAACTGTGAAAGTTTGCGAATTCTTAACTGACATAACTTTCTTTGACGAAGGGTTTAATGACACACTTGACTCCACGTGGCTAACGTGATTGTTACTCAAGTAAAGTGGTTATTTAGCGAGCAATTTAGCTGCTTTTTTTTCATTTTATCTTAATTCTTTTACATAATAAGTTTAAAAAAATAGCACGTGAGTGCTAAAAATATTTCAGGGTCGTCTTCACAAGAGATTACTTAATTTTCTTTTTGTTAGTGGACTGTGTTCTAAATTTCACACATTGGCTGTTCTTCAAGAACAAATTAAATAGTTCGTGTATTATACATACATACATACAATACAACACAAGTGCATGCAAATAGAAGTGGGAATGGGTGTATTATTTATTTAGAATTTGATTGCATTTATTGCAGGGAATAAATAATAGATAGCTTTGCCATTTCCGTAGAGATAATTTAGAGTTTAAAACCAAGTACTAATGCATTACAAAGAAAGTTGTTGAAAAATGTTAGGTAATAGTAAGAATTACATAAATATTTTGTATGTATGTATATATTTTGGTTTAAAATTATTTAATTTATTTACTTTCCCTCAAAATCAGCAAACTGAAATTTTTCCTCATTCCATGCAAGGTGGTTGCATAACAAATTCTCGTCATGACCAACTAGAATATTTTTCAAGTGCAAATTTTTATACACATACACCAAGGGCGTCTGTCATACATATGTACATATACACACGGAGTATTTTTTAATGCATTTGTTGATATTTTTTAATTGCAATTCTAAACAATGTTCGCGTGTTTTACTCCGAAAGCCAGATCTAGCTGTGTTTATATGTATGTATGTATATCGGACGTCAGCTTTTGTTTGTTGGCGCGTTTTGAAGTCGAGGGGATAGCTTAGGTAAACGTTGAGTCAGCTTATCAAACGGTACAAAGTTTTACACAACAATTCAGATGATTTCATACGATTTGAGAGAATGCAAACTGTATGCTCATGCTGTTGCTGTGTGCTAATCTCTTTTACGCAGCTGACGTACTTGATCATTTGAAAAGTGTGTATATGTATAATGGTTATGTAATAATAATTTTGATAAGAACTTTTCGCGGTTTTAATAAAAACGACTTATTCGTCTGGGCCGGAGGTAATTTACATATTGAAGGCATACGTCGTACATCTGTTGTATAGGGTACTGTAGACCTTAGAAAATCCAAAAAAAAAAAAGGTTTCCTGTTCAAATAAACATTTATACAAAAATTTTATAGCCGGCTTTTAGGCGCGTTGAATTTTTCCGAATTTTTTTTTATAGAATTTAGTTATGGGAGAAATACATCATATTCTAAATAAATAAATATATAAATTAATAAAAAATTTACGCACACCCAACAAGCATTTATTATCTGCAAATGTTTATTGAAAAATGTTTTATGTAATTAATGTTTTTTTTTCCAGAGCGAGTACCTATTAACCTTCAACTAAATCTGCAAACATGGGCGTACCAGCTGGTGATGTTGAAAAGGGCAAGAAACTCTTTGTCCAACGTTGTGCTCAATGCCACACCGTTGAGGCTGGTGGCAAGCACAAGGTCGGCCCCAACTTGCACGGTTTGATCGGCCGTAAGACTGGTCAAGCAGCCGGTTTCGCCTACACAGATGCCAACAAAGCGAAAGGCATTACCTGGAATGAGGATACCCTTTTCGAATACTTGGAAAATCCCAAGAAGTACATCCCTGGTACAAAGATGATCTTCGCTGGTCTGAAGAAGCCCAATGAACGTGCCGATCTGATTGCTTACCTGAAATCAGCTACCAAGTAAACAAAAAAACTTCACCATCAACAAGTGTTAAAGAAGCTATCGCAAAATAAACCACCTCATCGATGTATTAGCTCTTTACAATTAATATGAATATATATACATTAAAGATGTAATATTGGGTTTAAGAAGATGAAGAAAACCGTTGTGGTGGCACTGTAGCTAAAAAGAGCATCCATCATCTGTTTAAGAGCAAAAATACACTTACTAGTTTTACTATTCTAAATAGGACAATTTAATTATTTAATTTTATTGTGTAAAATAAATATAACCAATTTTTTAGTTGGTTTCACAAAGCAGAAGAAAATAAAAATGATTTCAACTCGAAAAACCAAACAATAAACCAATAAAAAAAGAAAAAAACCAAAAAAAATCGTTTTTATTGTAGGAAGATTTGCGTTGTCCTCTGATCGTTTTAACGGTATTCAATTCGGAATTCCAATGATTTTCCTCATTCCAACCGGAACTTTCAACACAAATTAATTTTGATTCGTATTTTAAAAAAAAATTCTCTTACTGATTATTACATACAAACATTAGCGATTTTTCAGTTAAAAAAACTGAAATGAAAGGTTACTGAAACGTTTTCGAACATAGTTTTGAAAGCAGAAACGCTTCGATTGTTTTTTAGTGAAAACCAATCTCGCGATAATTTTTCTTTTTTTAATTTACAGTTATATTTTGGCTGGTATTTTTTTTTTTACTATTTCGAATTCCACTAGACTGCAGCGCAAAAATTTCGTATAAAATTCCGATTCGAAATTGATTCAAATCTAATTCGAGCCTGTACTCCTTCGTCCAGCTGATGAAAAGGTTTCGTCGGTTGCTGTCTTGCAGTGAACAAGTACGAAAAGTCGGCGAGATAACAGTTCACTTTCGAGCAAAGATCATCAATACAAACACCAATGAGATAGGGAGTTTTAAAATATAGAAATTAAACACTGGTGGGGGGAGGACACCACCCGGCGGAAAACCCTGTTTAATTTCCCTAAGTTTCTATCTCTCGCCTCGAAATTTTACCGATGATTGACGACCACTCTGGTAGCCCATGAGCCACTTCTTCGTCAATTAGCGATAGCTGCACTGAATGGTTGACGATGTCAAAAGCTTTTGACAGATCCAGCGCTACCAGGACAGTCCGTGCACAGGGCCGATTTTGGTTAAGACCATTGACTATCTAGATGTTTATGACGTTAAGTGCTGAAAGTCGGGAACAGCAATACCTCAAGTGTCTTCGCTACTAGAAAGAGGGGAGTTATCGACCGAAAAGACTTACCTTTGTTGGCTGGTTTTCCCGGCTTCAGTAGCGGAAGTACCCTACCCATTTTCCACATCGAGTATCAATTGGTCAAAGACAAAGTGAGGACCATGTTGAAGAAATTTGCTCTCGCTAGACTTAGGTGCTTTATCATCAGAATGCCTGTTCCATAGGGGCCGATGGATTTGCAGGCTTTCGCCTTCCCTATGATCCGCTGAGACTTATCCCTGGAGAAATCAAGCGCTGCGCTAGTGTTTGGCAGTTTGCGCAGGCGGCGGGTTACACGTCGTTTCGTTTTGTCGGCCAAAGGATGCAGTGTAAAAAGTAGGCTGAAGTAGCTCGCATATATCTTCGGGTCCGTCGAGGCGCGGTCATCGAATGAAATTTCCACTCTTTCGGCAATGACTTGACTATAGCCCAGAGCTTGATCGCCCCAGAGATCGATGTCAACTCCTATGACAGCGAATTTTAGCGCCAAGGACTGTCACCCTTTTGGCGGCCTCACCTGATGTTCATACTTACTGCGTCAACTCATAAAAAACGGAAAATTCTTGTACTTTCATTTTATTATAGTATAATACATTTTATTTATTTAAATATTTAGTGAATATTCTTCGTATATCATTGTGTGAATATTGGCAACGAAGCAATTAAACGAACGTTGGCTTTGCACAAATCACAAAAAATACTAATTCAATACTTCTGTAACAACAAATAAACAGTTTTTCGAATATTGCATGTTTGTATGTGTGTATATATGCACGAACTTGACAAAATTTTCTAAATCATATCATATTAAATGGACTATGTCTCAACAATAACAAAACAAAAAAGGTAGTTTGTAAACAAACGTAGGCAAAATAAAATGGAATGATGAATAAAAACTAAAAGTACAAATATAATTTTGCACTTTGCATTGCCATTATAATATTTGATGTATGTGCAAAATTTTGCTGTTGATTTATACTTTAATTTCATAAAATTTAATCATTATTTTGAATAACAAGAAATCATTCCGTTTTTTCTTTTTTTTTTATCATTATTATTTCTATAAAGGGATTTTAGTACATTTAACACTTAGTTAGTTTATCGACTACACGCGCGCATCGTATGTCATAGCCGATTGTTTATTTATTACTGACAAGCGAACATGTTTATTTGACTTGAATAGTTTAGGCTTTGCCGCTGATTGGCGCTGAACCGCCTTTCTGAGGTTGATTTTCACTGTCCTTCTCCAGCTGCTTGCCCAAGTATTCCCTAAGAGATTTGATTTATTGCGTGAGTATTTGTCGTATAATGTGGGTTTGTTTATAATACAGTTAATTTTACAGTTTAAATGACTGAATGGACTCGAGAGATCTGCTTGTTATGATTTGAATGGGTTGGGTTAAGAAGTTTGCTTGACGCTTTCATTGCGCGCTTAACAAGATTTCTTAAAATTTAATGAATGAATGAGCACATTTACAAATTTAATTTATTAATTTACAATTAATTTATTGCACTTACCAATTGTGCACCATCAACTTCTGTACGGCTAAGAGAGCTTCGTAACGCACATTTGGATCGTCGTGGGCCAAAAGTTGCATGACAATTTGTTTACCGCCCAATTGCTCCAAAACGCTGCAAATAAATGTAGTTAAGATTTATAAAATTTTAATTTTTTTTTTTTAACTTACTGTTTGCCTCTTGGGTAATGACGCACATACTCGCCAATATCGAAACAAGCGACAGACAAGATAATATGATCCTTTGAAGTTTCCAACAAATGCACCAATATACGCAACAGCTCGTAGTTTTTCTCATTCAAACGATGAGCATTTTCACGCCAGAATTTAGCTGATTTATGCACTGGTGACCATTCCAAACGTGCGCTACGCAATTCGGTAGCATATTCGTCGAACGAGCTCAAATCCTGTACAGAGTTCTGCAGCTTCTCGGTGAGGAATTCCACATCGGCGGAAATATCCTCATCATCGAAGCGACGTTGCTCCAAAATGGACAACTGTTTCAGAACCTTGCACTGAACCATAGCAATACAATGCTCCTTGGCCACTTGCAGGTCGGTGGGCTTCTCAATCAAATTGCGGAAAACGGCTAAAATAATGCGTGTAACCTGCGATAGCAAGTAAATTGGAATTCAAAAATTGAAATAAAAATTTTATAAATTAAAAATTTATCATCATACCTTCTCCTTAGCACAATCGCTGAGTATATCAGCCAAAATGGGTATAACCGAGAATTTGTTCATTTTGGTGGCCAATAGTGGATTGAAAGTGAGCACCCATAAGCAGAAGACCAATTGGTATTGCACCTAAAAATGAGAAATCAAATAAACATATGTAATAAAAAAATTTTTTGTGGGAGTTTTTATGAGAAATATAGAGGCATGCGACTCACCTGGAAATTAACACGCGATGATAGTATGCTTATCAAAGTGCTAATGCCATCGACCGAAACGAAAGCGAAACGGTATTCATCAATGCGCAGCATCATTTGCAGGCAACGTGCCACCGATTGGATGTACTCATTGGCCTAAATTGGTTTTTATTTATTTTTTTTTTTGATTTCAATTAAAAAAAAAAAGTAATAAAAGTATTAGTCATAAAAGTGAAAATGTAATTATAAGTAAAATAAATTTGTTAGTTTTTTTAGTTAAATTCTGAGCTTTTGTCAAATTTACTACACAATCTTTTTTTTTTTTTGTTTGTTTGCTAGAGCCTAAACCAACAATGTGCATTTATTGCAAAAACTCCAAGTGATAGAAAAGTGCTCTGAAATCTAAGTAACATTTAAACTTACCACATCGTATACGTTTAAGGATTTTTTAAAGAAATTTTCAAAAATTTAACAGTTATAGTAACTTATATATAGGTGTCTCATATGCCATTACGGTGCATTTTAAAAGGAATAAAAGCTATAAAAACTAAATAATTAAGGCAAATATAAAGCTAACTAAATTTCCTTTTTGTAATTTTATTACAGATAAGTAATTAAAAGAAAAAAATATATAGTTTATGCCGGAAACAATTAAAAAATATTGAAACTGAGTTCTAGGATTTTAGTCGATTTTTTTCTGTTGGGTGACTTAATTGGAAGTTACTCGCGGTAAAAACGAAGGCGATCTCTTTTTAAAACTACGCAAATTAAATATTTAAGGACATGAAATTTGATACTTTAAAGGCAAGTCATGTTTTTTAAATTTAAAATCATTGAAATACCACTCATGATATGAACAACTAAAATATATTATTAAAATAAAATTTTCAAGTGGAGAGTAGTGCATTTTTTAATATAAAAAATAACCTAAAACATAATTTTTCGAGTGCCAGAAAAAGCGTCATTTACTCGAACTCAGCCGGACGGTTAACTAAAAAAAAATTATTGTACAAGTTTTTTTTCTAAGCGCAGTTATTCCTTTACGGTTTTATTTACATCAGTAATCAGTCATTGTAAAGGGCTTTGAAAGCGTAAAATCTAGGTAAAATCGGCACAGAAAACCGGCTAAAAATCGTTAAAGAATTTAAAAAAAAAAATACTATTTCTATATATATAAATCAAAAATATTTATCTAAGAACCCTGAAAGTCTAGTCGTGCCATAGACCATATGCTTTTAGAAGAACTCCTTAGCATATTCTATGCCGTAAATTGACTTTTTACTTAAAAAAAGGTATTAGTATTGTTAGCATAAAGTTATATTTTTTACAATCAATATAAAGCGGCTAAATTTGGTATTTAATTAACGCTAAATATTTTTACTACATTAAAAAAAAATTACAAATTGGTTAAAAAACACTCGCCTCTATTACATTTAACTAGCGTTAGACACTTTACTACGCTTTACAAACAGTTTATACCAGACAGTGTGTTTAATAAAAAAATGTTTCGATAGTTTGGAAAAGATAGCAGTAAGTCCACAGATCTGGCCTTTCGTTAAAGATATATAGCATTTTCTTCTTCATCACAAAAAGAAGTGTGCAAATTATTTTTAAATTAACACAAATACTCAATTTCTAAATATGTACATAATAAATAGGTAAAATGCAAATTTTTGTTTTGCTTAATTTATTTTGCGGGTGAAAATTTAAGAGAGAGAAAATTATGTATTTCACTCTACCGGAATAGGTAGCCTGCCGTCGACAAGAGCATTCGCTTGCTCCGTTGGCATTTCGCGATATCTCTCGCCTGCTATTTGTTGCTGGTGTAAATGTTGTTGCTGTTGCGCCATATTCAGGCTGTAGTTAGTATTATTCTTAGTAGACTGCTGGTCTTTACCATGCCCATGTCCATGTTGATGCACCACAATTGTTTGCACTCGTCTAGCTAGTGTGGCTTGATCTTTAATATACGCCTTGGCCTAAGGGTTGAGCGCAGTATATATGCATATGTATGTAGTAGTATGTGTTGCGTATGTGAAGATTTCGTTTGTTTTAAATACGATTAATGTACATCAATTTTATTGTTGTTTTGGAAGAATCATTGACGATTGAAAGGTTGGTGTTGGTGTAAACAGTATAGTCGGTACATACAATATGTATTTATTAATGTTTGTAATTTGAAACAAAAAGTTGAATTAGAAATTGAATTTAGTTTGAATTTAAAACATAATATTGTATGTTATTAACAACGAAGTGACCTCCATGACGGCATTGGTGGTTGTGGTTGGTGGAACATGTGGTGGGTGGGTAGATGTGACAATTTTAAAGCCTCACAGCTAGGCTTAAGTTATTAGTGGTGCAAAAATATTGATAAAAGTGCTTGATTTTTTTATTTATTATTTTTTCTTTAATGGCCATCGGTAATGCTTGTATGGTATCTAGTGATTCATTTAATTCTTTTTCAGCTTAGCTTAGCACTTGACAAAAAGTGTTAGTACACATTCCTAAATTTAACATTAACTCCAATTATGTTTTTATAACCAATTTTCAAATAAATATGTATATTGTTGATGTAGCGTAGAAAGGGCCGAACTTGCCGCTGTAATGTCGCTTATTAATTATATTATATTCATAGTTAAACATGGTTAAGTTAGCATTTCAAAGTAATCTTAAATATCACGAAAAAACTGCCTTTTCTGTACCTTTCTGCACTTCATCAACAACATGTGCGTACATGCAAACAATTTGGTTAGCAAGTGCCCATGACTTTTTGTTTTCCAAAATCACAATTTGGTTACCAAGAAGACGTATATAATATATACAGATGATTTGACTCTTTTATTATCGTATTTCATTTTTCGGTAGTCCTGTTCTTGCAATGCATTAGCAAATCATTCGCGTTAACATGCCACATGCTCAAACCAGCGTAAATCCCCAAGAAAATTTCAGCAAAAAAAGAATAATTAAAATCTTGCAATTCATAATTATACTTTAGAGCATTATTATTCCGAGCACTTATTATCGACGAAATGAACGATAGAACATTAGTGTGCTATTTCTCTCCGCAGGCACTAGTTTTTACACTGCTTATTTAAAAAAAAAAAAAAAAACAATCGGAAAACTGCAAAGTCTTGAAATGATGAAATCTTATGTTACAACTACGCATTTTGCATTTTAATTAACTATTTTTTTACTCTATCCACATAAAGAATTACAGCCTAATTTTCGTAAAATAATTAATTACACAATTAAAAAAAGTGCAATATTATAATTGTTTCGATCATGCGCAATTTCAAAATCTGTTTGAGCAGAAAAGCCATTCAATAGTAAATATATATTTTACCATCAGCATAAACTAATCCAATATATCTTGCAAAACAAGTTAAGTTTCAACAACATTTCAAACCGCATGCAAAATCATTAATGTAAACACATGCTTGCCGCGACCAATGATTGTAAATGAAATAACTATTAAAATTTATATAATTCCTAAAATACCTAAATCTACATGATAAAGCCCAAAGAGCTAATAACTATGATGTATTTTTTTCACATACATACATACATACATTCATACACCCATGCTTGCATCTATTCATATTACTTACGTTCACGGTCAGCTGATCTTTCAAAAATTGCAAATAGAAGTTCAAATCAGATTTTGGCATAAGTTCATGACCCCAGCAAGCTAACTTGGCTAAAATACGTGAAGACATGTTTACAATAAAACCATCTTGACGATTTAACAAGTTAAGGAATGGTCCCCATACGCATTCTTTATGTTGTTTTGCATAATCGTGGAAGAAGTCGACACGAGAACGTTCTTCTTGCAATAAATCATCAATCATAACCAGTATATATTGTATTGTTTGATCTTTAGAGACATGGGAAAGCAAATTTAATAAAGTTTTCACTGCCTGTGTAGAGTTTTTCTGCAGATATGCTGCCTTGGCAGTATCAAGTGCGCTAATGGCATTGTAGTCTTCTTGGGATATCATCTGCGATTGCATATACGAAGCCCAGTTAATGGTCTTGGTACGTATATCAGCTGCTTGTTGCTGCAGGACCGAGGTGGCAGCAATCATGTCTAAAAAAATATTTAGTAATGTGAATTAGAACCAATTGCTGACATTACATTTTGTGCCTTCGTACAAAGACTTGACGCACAAAATGTTCATGTGACACACACTTACCGATGTTATCATCGGGCAAATTCATTAAATCCTTGACGTCTGCCATTTTCTTTGCTAATTCAATGTAATTATACCAAACACAATCAAATTAATTGAATTATCACAAATTTTCTGCCCGATTTTTTACAAATTTCGCACTTTTAGTTTTTGCGATGAACAAATTCAGCTGACAAAAGTCACAAGACCCAGAAACATGGTTGCAACAAATTGGTATTAACAGTAACAGCTGTAATTTGCCATTTGAGTACTCCCGAATTCCTCAGTTTTATATATGTTTAGACCCGATTATTTGAAAATTCACTAGGCATATTCATGATCAAAATATTACGGACACCGATTCGAAGAAGTTACTGGTTTCGAAAATAAGCGAACTATCATAAGTCTTTAATTTCTAATTAGCAATTAGAAAAGCGAACAAAAAATTCAATCTTATTTATAACATAAACCATACATCGAACCAGTAAAAATTTTCAATTTCGAAAGCATTCTAGTTTTATTCATTAAAGATAGAATATGGCACAAATATATCAAAAAAAAATTCAACAAACAAAAAGTTTTCCTTTTACCCAAATATTTAATGCTCGTTATTAATTATACCACTAAAATTCATTATGTATTACACCCTGTGGTATATCAGTCCCAAATTGACAAACAGCTGCTTATATCTAAATAATTAATAAAAGAAAAATAATAGCAGCTGATAAGAATTTAATTTTGTTTACAATGATTTTTATTTGAAAGTGCCAACATTTGTTCGCAGTCCCATAAATCAATATTAAAATTTAATTTTGAGATTATGCTCTTTACACCAGTTATAAAACGAAAAAAAGGTGCGGGTAGAAATGCTTTAGTACCACCTTTCCCGGACAAGCATGCTATCGTAAAAGGTGTTTTCACAGGCTTATCCGTTGAGGTGTACGACACCGAGAGTATTAAGGCAATATATGAAAATGGATTTTATGGAAAAGGTAGTAAATCTAGAGGTGCACCACAAGTTGTTACAAGAAATGTAACCGACGTTGCAGAATGCCTAACATTAGAATTGGAGGAGGCGGCATTTCTAGCATACATTTTTGGTGCATTAAGTATACAAAATATTGAAAATAATGAAGTCAAGTGGGCAGAATTTTTGAATGCAGCGCAAACAATAAACTCACAATTCATAGAAAGCTTTGCCTGCTATATGTACCTAAAATCTAAAGGATGGATTATAAAAAGTGGTATAAAATTTGGTGGAAATTTTTGTTAGTATACATTGTTTATCATTTTCCTATAAGCTTCTATATTTCTAATATTAATTCTTTGCAGTAATTTATAAAAAGGGACCGAGATTCCATCATGCCAGTTTCATTGTATTCGTCCTGCAGAAAACAACCGATCAATATATTTCAACGAAGGATATAAAAGGACTACAACGCATTGCAGAAACTTCAGATAAAGATGTTTTGATATTGGAAGTATCAAAACCAAAAACTTTAACATTTAATGCTATTTCAGAAATTAGTACACTTAAAATATCAGAAATAATAGTGCGACGATTTAACAGTACAACTTTTGTACAAACGCAAGAATTAGCTAAATAGCGTAGCTTATACAAAATTATATCTTTTGCACTCGATGTTTTTTTGGAATACCGGTACGCCTGTATTCTGAACGTTCTTCTAGATAAATTTGCTTGCATTCTTCTTTAAACTCTTCATTTTTATACCACTTGGCAAGACATGATTTCAAGGCGGAGTTTTCATTTCGACATGTGACAACCATCATTATACTATTTGCCTTACAACATTTCTCAAATTCTTGGACTTCTTTATTGCAGTGAATTTCCTTCGCACGGTCACGCATAATTTTTGGTATAAGAACTTCCACTTCCACTTTCCTTAGGGATTTGTCATTGGGATCCCCTATGATGAAATGAAACATAAATATCAAATTTACGTAATATTATAAAAGATGTGTACAATTACCCAGATTATGTGGATTTTTAGGATTAAATGCACTTCCTGATTCTGTTTGTAGACTCATATTTTTTATGTTACAATTATTTTATTATTTCTGTACTATTTTTTTTTTATATATTATGCACATATAACAACGGGCTTAAACAGCTGATTGATACTTCATACAATTCTACACACATATTGTATTCCTAATGTGCTGCCATATTTTCAATATAATTATGAGAAGACATTGAGTAATACCAGTGGTTAATAAGGTAAAATAAACAATTCTCCGTTACAATATTGTTATCTACTACTGTGGACAAAAAGTAAAGTGAATTTATTTGTAAACTTAAAAATCTTTATTTATTCTTCTACATCGATTTCGACGCCTTCAAAATAGTCCCCTGCCGATGCAATGCACTTATGCCAACGCTTGGCGCGTTTAATATTTCGGGTTTATGTTGGCAGCACTGTTATTGACATCTACGCTGAATTTCATGTCATCATTAGTATTGTTGCGAAAATGCGAGGCGAATGTGAGATGAAAGAGAGAAGCCGATAACTAGTACGTTCTAGAAACGATAAAACAAGAACCTTCCATAGCGAACAATTCGATGCTTCTACGCTTTCGTCTGCGAGCAGCCGACTGCTATATAAAGGCGGCACTCAGCTGCAAGTCAAGTTAGTGACAAAGCGAACTGGTTGGCGTTATCATCAGTGAAGACGTAAAGTGAACGCGTTGGGAATTACATTTAAGTAGAGTAAATTGTGAAAGTTGATGTTAGTGATTATAAATAGTAAAGTGCAGTATAATTGAATTGTGAATTACTGAGAAAATAAAGGACATTAGATAGAATCTTTATAACGAAAGAAACTGCAAATAACAATCCAGAGATCGTACCCGAAGGATCTAGAAAATAATCGAGGTTGGTTTAGTAAAATCGTAACAGTATTCTTGTTCCTCTTTTGTTTACTAAAGGACTAAAAGTGCCTTTGGCGGTTTTTATAATGTCTGATTTAATTGAGCAAAGAACTGCGATCAAATTTTGTTTGCGGAACGAATTTTCGGGGCGACCATCAATGTCAACTGGTGTGCAACACGTCAATGAAATTAAGGAATTAGTGCTCAAAAATCGCGGATTGACTGTTAGAGACCTTACTATATATTTGGAATATCAAAAAGATCTGTAAAAACGATTTTGAAAGACTATTTGGGCCTACGAAAAGTCAAATCTGGTTTGGTTTCAAAAACACTCAATTTCACTGAAAAAAGCCATCTTGTTATGTGTGCGAAACCATGCTGTCTGAGGACAAACTGAAATGCATGATTACGGGAGATGAAACGTGGATATATGCCTACGACCCTGAAACCATCGACAAATCAAGAGAATATCGTGCTAAAGATGAGACAATCCCGAAAAAATCACGTCAAAGTCGCTCAAAAATCAAGGTCATGTTGACTGTTTTCTTCGATTTTCGTGGTGTCGTGCATTATGAACTCCTTCCGCCTGGTCAATCAGTAAATAAGGAATAATATTTAAGCGTAATGCGTCGTTTGCGTGAAGCAATTCGCAAAAAAAAAACAGAATTATGGGCTAACAATTCTTCGATTTTGCATACACCATCGCACACAGCACTTATTCTTAGTGACCATTTCGCTAAAAATTCCACGAATATCGTTCCCCAACCACCGTATTTGCCGGACTTAGCTCCATGTGACTTCTGGCTCTCCAAAAACTCAAGAGAACACTTCGAGTCGATTGAGGAGATTAAACGTGAATCGGCGCGCTCTCTGAAGGCCATACCAGAATGTGACTATTTGACATGCCTTGATAATTGGAAAAAGCATTGGCATAAGTGCAGTGCATCGGCAGGGGACTATTTTAAGGCGACGAAATCGATGTAGAAGAATAAATAAACATTTTTAATGTAACAAACAAACTCACTTTATTTTTTATCTACAGTAGTACTTCCATGCTATTACCAATGATTATTTTTCTTCTTCTTTAATGTAGACACCGCTTACAGTGTTATAGCCGAAGCCAAATTTTCGACTTTATCTGTACTAGCATCTGTTACTGCATTGAATACTCTTAGATTAGGAGTATTTTCGTTTATCCTAAAACTAGCCATGTAAGCTATATCATTTCGTCGTATGGCTCGTATACACAAAGCACATAAATCTTCAACCAAATCTTTCCCTCAAAGAATCTCATAGTGGGCACATCGGATGTTGTCAACGACCCGCTTCAGTACCATAAATCTTTATATAGAGAGCTTTGATCCTAGCTTATGCCACCGAATTTCATGATGAATTTGAATAATCTCTTAAGGTACATACAGACACGAATGTCTCTTACAGTGTTTTGCGATTAAAGGATGAGTTGTTTCAACGAGCTTGAACCACGCCAAAAGTGGTGTTAGATAAATAGGTTTTAGTCGACATGCAAAGAAGTAGTCCGCAGGAATTCTTTATGTGTAGTATATATGTTGAATGGGTCTATAAAAATAAGTTGAGTCAACTATAGAATCCAGATCTCAGTTGCTTCAGTGTTATTTAAGGCTCGTAAAGCAACTCGAGCTATTGGTGTTTAATGGGTGTATTTGGATTGCGTATTTGGACTGGTTATCAAGTTTCTTCATATGTTTCTCGCTCGTTCGCGGGGTCCAAATCGATGTGGTGTAAATAGTTACATTTCTTTGACTTTTTCCCACGTACTGCCAGTAACTTAGTAGAGTTAGTGGCATCACGATTACAGCTGTTGTCAGATGAGCAAGTGGGGAAAAGTCGAAGAATATTAAGATTTCGGTTGATTATCAATATTAAGAAGCTGGCAAGCAAGGAAACCATTATTAATTTTCCCTACGCTTCGAATTGTGATTACAAAATTCTACCTACGACTGCGTGTACTCATGAATCACGGTGTCGAATGCTTTCGAAAAATGTTGTGCTATCAGGACAGCTTGTACTAAAGATCTATTTTGGTTGGGGCCATCTTGGTGAGAAAGCCTCTTTTACACTTTATAAACTCGCTGCCGCAAATCCGTCCGATGCACCAAAGAATTTTGTTGTAGTTTTTAGACCGAGCTCTCGGAGGGATTTTCTCTTTAGACTCATCGCTTCTAGACGATGCAAATTAAAAAGATGTCAGATATTAAGTTACACGTAATAATAATAATAAGCCCAACGAATACCCTCCACCCGCCCAAACGATACGAGAGACGACATCCGCATAGCGCATGGAATATATACTATTGTTAAGTACTTATTATGATCCAAAAAAAATCTATGCAACATATTTAATGCGTATTAGAGTTACAAGAAAGCAAGTTTTAGCTTAGGATGGGCATATGTATGTACTATACCGAAATTTCTCAAACAAAACATACAGTAGCCAAAATGAAATAGATTACACTGAATAATATCAATGCGAAACTCTCGAAAAAGCTGGCTAGCTGCATCCACTCATAGGGAGTTTCATCGGCGGATATTAAATTGCTGAACTCCTGCAGTGTCACATCCTCGAACTGAGTGCTCGGGTCACCGGTTTCACGATGTGTCATTCTCATGCTTCTCCTTGGCGTCAAATAGGAAACAAAGGAATTGCGGAGTAAGCTCGATATAGTAGGATGGAGTTTGCCGCGATAAGAGGCATGTGTGGCGAATATTGAAAAGACAGTGAGCATTTGCTGAAGTGTGACCAAAACCAAGCTGCAGCTGAAGAATTTAACTGCAAAGACAAGAAAAAATATTAATATTTTTATTCAACTAATTCGGTCTAACGACGTTAATTGCCTAAACTCACCAATAAAAGGTGTAGTCCGCGCGAATTTTCCCACATGATGAGCGAAGTATAGCAAAACAAAAGTTATGATAATCAAATTAACACCGTTAATGCATATTTTAAGGCGATTTCCAGTTTCCACGCACAGAGCAAGTAAAGAAAGAATAATAACCGTTATACTCAATGCACGGAACACTGTAACGAAGGCACAACGTCGCTCGAATGTCAAATGATACTCCATACTGATGTAGGGTTCGGCACAACATGTGTATGTCGTCGCTACACGCTCTGCACCGAATTCGGTTACTTTATATATCATACTTGCCATATCGATCTCTTCGAAATTCATCGTTCCATTCGGATTCGAATATTTCATGAAATCTACCTCAAAACCATGATAAGTCCACGAGCCGAGTGTTAATTTGCATTCGTGCTTGTCGTGTGGCCAGTTGCTCATGCCGGTGGTGCAAAAAACGTTAATTTGAATGTTATCGCTCCAGAGCACCATGCCAGTGTGTTCCAATAGGACGATACCGTTATGATGCATGCGCAGAAACTTGTCGGGAGCATTGTTGTAAATCTGAAATTTGTGTGCGAATGCTTTTATGTGTGTATAATATGCATACGTGTAGTATATGTATGTAGGTATAAAATAGAACATTCTGTACATGTCTCACTTAGGTTTTTTTGCGCAAAATAAAGAAAAATTATACACTAAAGTATATACATATAAATATTACTAACCTCAAGATCGGGAACCCAAATCAGTTTTTGTTTCACTGGTATGCGAGTCAGATTATTGTAATCAACAGGATTCCAGCCCAATTTGGGATCATGCCAGCTCTAAAAAAAATTGAATTTATTAAAAATACAAATATAATAAAATAAAATACGACATTAAATTAAGTTACATAAGACTAAATAAAACTAAAATGGATTAAATAATAAATATAAAATGAAATGAATTTTAACAAAAAAATTAAATAAAACAAGACCAAATAAAATCAGATGAAATGAAATTAAATTAATTAACCAAATAAAAAATTTTAATAATAATATTTATTTTATTATATAATTAATAATTAATAATAATAATTTTAACTTAAATAATAAACTAAAGCAAACTAAAGTAAAAAAATACATTAAAATAATAATGAATTAACAAAAATCTAAAAAAAAAAATAAAAAAACAAATAAAGTAATGTAAAAAAAATTAAAATAAAAATAAACTAAATATAAAAATTTATTGAAATAAAATTGAATATAATAAATAAACTAAAATAAAAATAATAATAACAATAACAATGATGTAAAAAATAAAAATTAAATTAAATAATAATAAAGTATTGTAAAATAAAGAAATTAAACAAAATTAAATTAAATTAAACTAAATTATATAAAAAAAATTTATTTTAAATTATTATGTATAAAACAAAGCAAACAAATCAAATTAAATTAAATAAAAAACATAAATAAAATGAGAAAAAAAATTAAAATTTGAAAAGGATCGAAACTGGGTGGATGATACGACTACTCCTCTCGAAAGTTGAAAAATCATTAGGACCATGTCTAAGCGCGTGGAGGAGAAGTTTAGCACTATGCACGTTGCGAACAAATGGTCTTCGCCCAATGCCACAGAAGGCATCTGACGCTACGCAGAAGCCAATCGCAAAAACATTCAAATATACATAAACATCTACCAGAAAGCAAAAAACTCAAATAGCAGGAAGCATTTAGCCAGCGCCCAAAGTTATTCGTAAATAAAAGTAAAATAATAATTAAAAAATTTTAATTAAAGTAAAGTTTAATAAAATAAATTAAACTAAATTAAATTGAAAAAGTGAAATTAAAAGAAACAAAATAAAATAAAATTAAAAAGTAAAATGAATAAGTAAATGTTGGAAAAACATTAACAACAAAAATTATTATATAAAATAAAATTAAATAAATTAAAATTAAATAAAATAAAATATCGACATTAGAAAATATAATATTAAATACTAAGATGAAGAAAAAAATACAAGTAAAAAAAAATTAAAAAGAATATGTTAAAATAAAATAAAAAAATTTTAATTGACGAACATTCAAAAAAATTAAAAAATTATAAAATGGAAATGAAAGTAAAATAAATTTAAAAAAATTGAAACTTAAACGAAATCGAAAAACAAACAAAAAATTAAGAGTTACGATAATTCTGCAACATCTCGAGTATGTAATCCTAAATTATCAAGTCTATCATAATAAAAAGCTCAGGCATAGGAAGGTGTGGGCTAAAAAGATAGTAAGTTGATCACTTTAAGCTTTAAAACCATTCTTCTCGAAACTATACTTTTCTGAGTTCTACTGTCAACGTAAACGGATGTTTTTATCCCTGGAAATGATGCCACAAGTGCGGAGTATTGCATATTTGAAAGTTTTTGAAACTCTTTTAGAAATATATAGCCTTAACACAGTAAATAGTTTGTTCAAATTGTATCATTTATATAAAATATAAAATAAAAAAAATGTTGAATATAGACAGACCTTGTTTAACCGAATGTAACCATGTAACCAAATAAAATGAAATAAAACAAAATAAAATGAAAAAAATAAAACATTAGTAAATAAAAAATAAAATAATAGAAAATAAAATTAATAAAATTGGCAAATTAAACATTGTATTGTAAAATAAACGATAAAATTGCAGGGAAGTTGCGGTGAAGTAGAAACAAACCGAGCCGCGTACCGCTCGGTGTTCTTGAATTGAACCTGATGTAGTTATATATACATACGTATAAATATTAGTTTACAGTTTCCAGCCGCTTTGCAGGGAATTAAAAACTACCCATCAAACCAACGCGAGGAGTCATTTTTCTTGGAAAGGCCTTTTGGTATTAAACACAAATCGAATGTGAAAAAACAAACCAAAAATCTCTTACGCATTTACGAAGCGCACATTTTCTTTTGCTTATATCAAAACTCACCACATCTAAAAGACCCACAAAATGAAATGAACCATCCGATTCGCGAAAGTCGAAATGTTGCAACACTAAATTTGCATGCAAATCAATTCGAACGCCATCCGGTGCGGGTTTAGCGCCAGCATCGTAATTAACGAATAAATCCGTGATAAGCGATTGACGTGCAACTGATGCCGAGTAAACTGCCAACGAAGAAATGCAATTGAGAAAAAAAAGATGATTTCTTCACACAAATCGGTTTTAATATACAAATTTAAAACGTTTCCAACACATTTTATTTAATATTTGACTCACATTTGGATTCGGTTGCTATAATTACTGAGAATATAATTAAATGGAATATTTTGAATGAAGTCTTCATCTTACTGCCGAGATGTTTGAGATTATTTCAAAAGTTACTCACTCGTCTGCACTTCACATTCAACTGATCTGCCAGATTCAGATTAACAGTGGGCTTTATGCTCATCTCTTTTGGTTGCAAGTTGGATAATTTGTTTGTGATTTAATTTACTCAAGTAAAGCTAAATTGATGCTAAATTTAAACCGAATGTTGTACATATGTACTTACCTACATGCATACATACATATACATATATAACACTTACATATTTGAATTGCAGACGCTGGAGAGCTCTAGACGTGTTCATAATTTTATTAGTTTTGGTTTGATTTAATCGTGCATACATACATACATACATACTACATATGTTAAAAAAAAATTTTACATAAGTAAAAATTGACAAAACGTCTAGTCATGTTGTTTATATTCTCTGTGCTTAGTACAATATTTACTACTGAGTCTGCATTTACTGGTGAGAAGAATAAAGTAAAATCACTAGACAGTTCTTAAAATAAACCTGAAATATTCGAATTAATAAATATATTAATGAATTATTTTATTTCAAAAAATATTAAACATGTTTGCAGTGTGTAGAGGAAGAACTATAAGGGAGATACATAAATCTGTTACTGCAATTCAATGATATATCCAATATATATAGATATAAGACCCGTTTGGCCAAAGTAGCCAACTAGTAATAACATTCGGATGACCGAGTTCCAAAATTATAGAAAATCAATAGTTCTAGTTGCGGTTGCCCCTCGGCAGGGTATGTGAAGACCTCCAGGTATATTTCTGAAATGAAATAAAGGCTCCTCATAAAAAACTATCAGCGGTTGGGAGGCGACTTAGAGTGAGGCCCCTCCATTCGTTGCAAAAACAGCAAGACGCACACCAATATGTATAAATTTTACTTCTTACTAAATTATTTTGATGAAATTTCTCGAGAATTATTACTATTTCCTCCCATACCCTTCCCCTGAAACCTCATGGGTGCGCCATAAATTTATGGATATTTATTGTCTCTGTATTGGCATCGGTCGTCGCTGTTTTTGTTAGTAAAGAAGAGTTCTCATAAAGAAATTTTGAAGGAAGAAATATATGTTTTCCTTATATGGTCTCCTGTATGGATCGTTATAAGCCTCCTAACAGTAATTTCAACACCAGAACTGACAAAGAGGCCAAATTTGTTCTAAAAATCCGGAAACTGTAGCATTGATCGTTTGTTTTCTAATGGTTGAAAGAAGGGTTCGACCTTGCATATAGACTTCATCGACCGATATAATAAAGAAAATTGCACAGTCAGTCAGTAGTCGAGTATGCAACAGTGCCAGACCAAAATCCACAGTTATAAACTACATCCGGCCGCGCCTCTCACACGGAATATTGACCTCTGTCAGTGTATTTTTGTAACGAAATCTAAAAGGCGTCGAGATGGCGTCCTCCAACAGAGGCGCAACCGAAAAAGCCTTATCAAAGTCGCTTTTCACACCTACCCACTGAAAGCACTCATCAACAACTCAGTGTAAGGGAACTAAGTGAGGGAATTTCAAGTTCCCTACGTACAGCTACAAATGGAATTATTGGTTTGCGAAAAGGTACAAACAAAGCTGGTACGATGAAAAGGCTGCCTACCTCGCAAGGTTGCGACCGACCTCTACACCTATGAGATGGACTATATACCGAGAACTGTAGGGGGCTTGAGCTTGAGAAGCTGGCCCATAGGGTAATACTAATATAAATTCTACAAAAAGATGCGGCGAGTTGCAGATGGTTTCAACATCGGAGCAAACTCTTGTAGAATACAGAGAAGCCTTATGAATGGAAGAAAAAATGGAAAACTATATGGAACTGATGTTGATATATATGGAACGAAAAACTAACAAGCATTTGCAGAATATGATGGAACCTAGGTGTTCTCTGCCCAATCCATAAAAAGAGGTACCCACAATCTACGTCAATTATAGTTGGATGCACACACACCCTTCATTGCCGATTTTAAAGCAACCTTCGACAGCAGCACCAAAAGCTCGGACAAGATCGGGAAGGGCCTCTCCGAACCATTTGACACCAACCGAGGTTTCAGACAATGTGACTTTTTTTCGTATCACATCTTTACCCTAATGCTTCAGCGGAATAACTGAATAGAGAAGTTACAATCTTCTATGGTGGCGTACGCCGATTATATTGATTTCATTGGCCACAACAGCCCCGCCGTGAGCTCTGGCAGTGAATAAGGACAAGACGAAATATCTTCTGACATCGCATTCGCGACTTGGTTTCCACGTCACTTTTGACAGCCATAACTTTGAAATAGTAGACAATTTCGTCTATCTTGAAACCAACAACAATATCAACCTAGAAATCCTACGTAGAATCACACTTGTCAACAGGTGCTACTTTTGACTGAGTGGAAAATTGAAAAACCACAAAATTCTACAAGTCGTTCATTATTCCCGGTCTTGCAATATGGTGCGTAGACAGGGACAATGACAACATCTGATGAGTCGGCATTGGAAGTTTTCGGTAGAAAGGTTTTGGGTAAGATTTATGGTACTCTACGACCTACGAGGTGGGAACGGCGAATACTACAGTCAATCTAAGTATTAGTTGTACGTGATATGCGGCGACATTGAACCAGTTCAACGAAGCAAGACGCAGCGGCTACACTAGCTCGGTAATGTGGTCTGGATGGATGAAAGTTTTCGACACAATACCCGCCGGTGGAATCAGAGAAAGAGGAAACCGAAACTGCGTTGAAAAGATCAGAGGGATAAGGATCTGACTATATTTGGTACTTCCAATTGGGGTCAAACAGCGAAAAGATGGAATGAATGGCGCGCTGTTGTAAACTCGGCTATATTCGCGCAAGCGGTGTCTACGTCAGTAAAGAAGAAGAAGAAAACGAAGGAGTAGATAAGAAAATGGGTAAAGAAAAAGTGATAATAGGAAAATCGCAATGGCATTCAACTGGTGAATAGAAGTAGGAAAAGGAAGTGGACAAAGAAGGTGTGGTCTAAAAAAATTCCATCTGTGCAATGATTGCTCCTCTAAGGAATGGATGGAATTTAAAAATGTATAAATCGGTATCTTTAAAAGGATGATAGAGAAAATAGAAGACACTCCAATTGCGTTTAGGCTTTAAATTTTTCAAACTGAACTCCAAGGGACGTACTCGTCGTAGCTCCACTGCCTTTTTGTACGTCAGACTTTTAGGGGCACCCTTAAGATCAATATAGTATTAATAAATATGTATGTTTGTGTATATATATTAATATAAATAAATTTGTTTATATCTTAAATACTTTAATTGGAGCTGAGAACTTCATAAGTTCAAACACATGATCTGCAGCAAATACATGTGCGTACATACACACGCGTATATATATATCTATATATATATTCTAAAATCTGTATTTGTATATTATATACATATATGCATAGAGATGAATGTATATATTATAGCATTTGTATTGTATATTTATCCTCCATTCGTCCATGTTCGTACCTCGCACTCAATCATCATAAAGAGATTGACTTTGCACCAGCTTTTGAATCTCAATTCAATTCAGTTTGTTGAGGAACTCGGACGCGTGTACAACTCGATTTGCCAGCAAGAAGAAAGCACTCGAACATACAAAGTATTTAATAAAGTATAATTTAAAGTAACGAATGAGTTTTGTGATAAAAAATACACTTACTTCCGGCATGAGGCCGAGGCGGAGGCTGAGGCTGAGGCTGAGTCGGCAACGTTGCGTTTATCCAACGTTCATAATGTGTTGTTGGTCGTTAGCTCTTGGAATTTTCTTATTTCTGTTGCAATCTGTCAACTGTAAGCATTACGATATCTACGAACGTTCATACATATCTACATATGTATATACATATGTCATGAATGTGCAATTTATTGTTATATGGATGTATATATGTATGTACAAAAACATAGTGATTAAATTTGTGTATGAAATATGCGAAGAATGTGTGATTTTATATTGCAAGGAAGTTATTTCGTATTTATGTACATACATATACTGCATATTAGTGCATTATTCACATTAAATAATTGAATATGATGAAATAATCTGAGTACATATGTACATACATATGTATCTATATAAATTATAGCGGTTGTAAATGTGTCCTTGACTCTTATTTCGCCCAAAATTGAAGAGCCTAAGCGAACTCCATTCCAATCCCACTCTATCGTCCACGTCGAACGCCCTCGAAACGTGACCAACCCTTGTGCAAAATCCAACTACCAACACAAATGGGGCCTTGGATCACAGCTGAGAGAAAGCGGAGTATACTCCAGTGAAATCATTCGGCCATATTCCGTTTAAGAGTTCGCTGAAGTATAATCACATAAGTCCACCAGAGCTGCTGTTGCTACATGAGCGCAACGGTAATGAAGCAAACGACTTGTTGTGGAAACAGTTCCAAATAAGATAGAAGCTGAGCTTGGATGCACTAACAACAGCCTCGGTTCACAACTTTCAATTTCGATGACGATCACAATAAACGAATTATTCAAAATATTTTGAGGCATCATCTGAAAAGTCCGGTCTCTCAATTGGAGAGATACTGCTGCAAAGCTGTTTATAATAATTATAATTAGCGCGATTAAAATGCTGAGACCAGCTCCTTCTCCGATTTGTGGTGTGCATCATGATGTTTTCCAAAAAATTAAGGGACGTACGGTTCTTACTAAGGTTGACATACCCTGAGGAGCGGCGATCGTAATTAGAAAAATTTAATTAAAATAAATTTCAATAATTTTTGCCTGTTGGTCAGACCAGGACTCAAAAAACCCTGTCCTTCCGAATGCCAATGCTATCGTTATAGCCTTCTAAAAGATTAATGCTGATGGACGGTTCAAGGACAGAAAAGTATAGGTCCTTAATACTTGTACCACTCCTGCCTTATAAAGGAGCCTCAAGGTAGTGTTGGATTTGTAGTAAAAAAAAGATTTCGCTTGCCAAGTGATCGTTTTTGATGAATGTTCAAGAGCAGATAAAGACGTTGAACACACCGGCAGCTTTCTTCGAGCCCTTAGAGCGCATTTCCAGCAAGACGGAATAACTGGAAAATTCATCAGTTACGACGAGATATGATCTCTGTGCAGTGAGCCGAAAATCAAAAGCAAGTCTCGTCGTTGAAAATCTGCAATTACAAAAGACTATCGAACGGTTTTCTACTTGACTTGCACTCCTGCTCTCTGAGAACACTCATCAGCAGCTAAGTAGAAGATAACTGTAGGACGGAATGTTAACTTCTCTAGAAACAATTGGTTTTCGGAAAAATGGGAAGAAGTGGTTGAGGAACTAACCAAAAAGGGGTACATTCGAATACTCTAGGAGAAAATGAAACGAATTTTAGAGTTTTCTTGAAGGAACGAAAAGTAAAATCTGGTAATTCACATTCAGGGCATACCGGGTTTATCGAGGGAATACTTCTCCAGCTAGCCGAATCACTGTGAATGACCACAGGCCCACGATAAGCGACACAATGAAGGGAAACTCACTCGATTTAATTATCAAGCTCGGCTCATGTTCACTGACAAAGAATCTGATTATACAATACTACAGTACGTGCTCTCGCGAGGTTCCGAGTTAAGCCCCAGGACTCGCGTCACGAGACAAATTATTTAAAAGCGCTCCGGTACAACACCTAAAGCAACGAGTTATGAGTAAATAGTTATGACGCCGAAGTCCAGTCGTTTTAATAAGAGAGCACAGTAAAGCCAAGACCGAAAAAAACACACCAATTTCGATCAAAGCTTTTGCTCACAGTTTTCGACGTTAATCGTGACGTAATACCTTAGGAACTCTTTTCACTAGTTCCTATAAGAGTTATTATCTTGGAGTATTATGCGTCGTTTGCCTGAAATAATTCAAGAAAATTGGGTTGAGGAAGAACAGCTCACGATATGCACCTTCTCACTCATCATCATTTGCTAAAAATAAAACACCTTAATTGTGTCTCAGCACACATACACGGCACTCTAGTTAACAAGCGTTCCGGAAGTCATAAAATATGACCACATGGCTATTGGACCCTACCTTTTCCTTGCATGAAAGCATGAAAGGACAATATTTTGTGATCGAGGAAATAAAAACCAAAATAAAATAACTCAGAGATATTCTCCGGGGATTTACAAAATTAATAGCGCATGAAGACAAAGTAAAGATTCATGAATAAAACAATATTTTTAACAAACCTCGAACGAATATACGAAGGAGCTTTTTTATGTTCGCGGAATGAGAGTGTTGTAAAAAGGCGATTAGGTTCATAGCAACATAATCGGGAGTGAAAATTGAAACATGTTTTAATTTAATATTGTGCCCTCCTTACCAAAGAAGGAAAGTCAGTTGTGCCCATAATGAATGAGATGTCATTGGTTTACGGCGACTCTTGTTCCAGAAAAACCATGATGTGCGAATGGCATAGTTTATTTAAACAAAAAGGGGAATCCCGTGTAGAAGACCTTAGGTCTGGGAAAAAGCGTCGAGGTGAACACGCCAGAACTTATCTAAAATGTTGAAAATATTGTCTTCGGCGAAGTTCGACAACTCGCTGAAATGGTTGGAGTATCCGACACAAGCGTTTTTAAAATTCAGCACGACCATCTTGACATGGCCAAGGTTGCACGGTTACGCGCTCGTACACAAGACCCTCGTTGTATTGGATTTTTTGAAGATAAAAAATTTTTTAAGTCGGTATAAATAAATTAATTGAAAGATTTGATAAATGCAAATTGGTTTCTGCTGACATTTCCTACAGAAAGACGACCTTGATTTGAAGGTGTTTTTTAGTTTTATTATAAAGATAAGGGTTTTGTTGTTATCTTTTAAAATTGATTTCGAGCAAAAGAGCTCCACAGCTGGCTCGAATAAATTCCAGCCGAGGGGGGCACTTTTCAGCAATAACTTGTGGATTATTCACAAGTCACTCCAAATGAGTCAATTTCGTTCATTAGCGTACGGATTCTATCCAAATTGAGTTTCATCGCCGAACAAACTTTTCTTGTGAAAATCGGTATCGGTGTCCATCTCCGTACTCGTGAAGCCCAAAAGAATCATGATGCTCCCGAAAAATCTTCCATAAAGTTCCACAAAACTCCAATAAAGGCACCAACAGCTATTGTATTATCTACTAGAGTAAAAATGGGCCGAAACCGAGTCCTGAACTAGTCTCAGATGTATTTTGCAAAAATCACCAGAACTATTTTTGTTAAAAATTCTATCAGTAAAGTAATCTTATACAACACTTTTTTTAATTTCCATATTTTATATCCAAATATAAAAATTTATTAGTAAGACACATTACCTTGTTCTTATCATTTAGCGGAAGAAACAATTTCCAATGGCACCAAAACCTGGAACGTCACCAATTTGGACCGATTACGCCTGCAACTATTCATCAACTATGACAAGAACTCTCATCCAACATATCATGGTATACCAACAAATATCACTTTAGGCATGTCGGTGAACTATATCGATATTGACGAGATAAATGGGAAGATGACATTGCACTCGTGGCTGAGAGTAGTAAGAAATTCATAAAATTCTTTAATATTATTTTTTAATTATTTGCACTACAAATCGTATTTTCAGAAATGGATGGATGAGAATCGTTCATGGAATGCTGGGGACTACGATAATATAAGCCAAATACATATGAGACCAAAAGAAGTATGGAAACCGGATATAACACTCTTTAATAGCGCCGGCGAGAAAAGTGATTATCTGGGTGATACTCAAGTGCTCTTGGCCAATGACGGTAGCTTCTTGTGGGTACCACCCGCTGTATATACAGCATATTGTAGTTTGAATTTCCGCACTTGGCCATATGATACGCAAAAATGTAAAGTGAAGGTCGGTTCCTTGGCGTTGACCTACATCGATTCGCGTTATCTTGAATTGAAAGAGAGCTTAGACTACAATGAACTAGTGCAATCAACGGAATGGGAAATTATCGACGCCGATACGGAATATCGAAAACAGGATTATTACAATTACATCGAATTCACATTTACGCTAAAGCGACGCTCGTCCATGTATACAGCGGTTATCTTTACGCCAGCATCGTGCATAATTCTACTGGCGCTTTCCTCGTTTTGGCTGCCACCGCAAATGGGTGAAAAAATATTGCTGAATAGTGTGGTGATTGTGCTCATTGCCGCTTTTCTGATGTATTTCGCGCAACTGCTGCCGATCTTGGCCGATAATACTCCGCTCGTAGGTTGGTATTGATGTGAATTTATATTTAATTACATATGGATGTACATGAGATACACTTTTTAACCGATGAAAGAGAGGATTATCAATTCATCGCGTATATTTTTTTTATGCTTGACTACGCAAATCCTTTTATAATTTTTCTCTTATTTGAAAGAGTATAGCTGGAAATTAGTTGCATCGGTTGTTGGGAAACCCACATTGTCGGATTTTGATTTTTTTTTTTTATTGAAAAGGGTATAGCTTGGTCTCACAGGAGTCTCGGAGGAGTAAATTTTAACCAGAGGCTAGAAAAGGGGGAGTTGAACGTATAATTCCGCGTAACCCATTACCACGTACTTCGATTGGAATAATTTTTCCTTCAATGGATTGTGTATGCCCTGCACGTACTTCGCAGTTTAGTCACACATAAAATTGTCAAATTTCTCTCTCTGTTAATTGCATGTAACCTTGAACGAACGCTTATTAATCAAATACTAAGAAATCTGGTATTTAAAGAAATAATCAAATCAAATTATCAATGAATCGTGAGGGCTCAAACAAAGCTACATTTGGTCCCTTTTCATACGTTCCAATATTATTCTGTTGTGACAAGTATAAAATATATATACTCCAAGCTCTAAGTGTTATAAGAGCTCTCGGGGAAAAAAAAATTACCCACCTAGACACGCTCCTACATACCATTTGCTCCTTCGGTTTGATGGCTCACTTAACTTAGTGACATTTTTTGAAAAGCTTTTCTATTCGAATTGCGGTATTTTAGGGTCCACATTTCACCATTCAAGAAGTCGAGCGTTCAAGAGACTTTGAACTCTTCTCTCAAGTACTCAACCTTCTCCCTCAAAGAATATGCCAGTAAATATACTCGTACAATCAAGAGCCGTTCTGGCGCTCTTTTGGCTTGAACACACTTTTATTAAAAAACAAAGATTTGTATAGAATGATCAATAATATTGTATACATATGTTTTATAATTTTAACTGCTTCGAGGATATTGATCTTTGTTACCTAAATAATTCATCTCGTTTTTTCACATAATAGGTAATTTCTAAATAAAATGTCTTTGTTGTTATTATAATCATCATACTCGATGTCAGCATCTGACACCAGATACCTCACGCTTAAGCGCTGTTCCACTCTGATTACCAACTGTGATTACCACTTCATTCATATGGCTGCCGCGGTTGGCTGAGCAGAGACATTTGAGTTCTTGGCCACAGGGTCATAGAAAGAAACTCTGAAGCTCCTGTTAGATAGCACTCGAGCAAATAGAATCCTCCCTATATATTTATATACATAAAGGATGATTTTTTAAGAGCTATAGGAGAGTTTTTCAAAAAAAAAACACATAAAATTCAGAAAACTTCCTGAAATTTTTATTTGAATCGGTAAAACGGTCCATACAATTTAATTTTTGAAGATTATTTTATGCAAATGTTGACCGTTACTGCGCCTTAAATGGTCCATCCGCATTTGGCATACTCATTACAACATTTCGACCGGTATCTCACGAAAAAATGCTTCAATGTTGTACTCCAAAGCGTCAATCGAAGCGGACTTGTCTGTATAGACATTAGATTTAAGATGACCCCACAAAAAATAGTCTAAGGGCGTTGAATCGCACGACCTAGGCGGCCAATTGACCGATCCCGAATGTGAAATAAAATGTTCACCGAAGTCGCCTCTCCATTGTTACACGTACTGTGTGGCAAGTGGCACCGTCTTGTTGAAAGCTCTTGCATTTTGGGCAAAAAAAATTGATATCATCTCACGGTAGCGCACAGTTACTTTACGATTCGCATCATCTTTGAAGAAGTACGGTCCAATAATACAACCAGCCCATAAACGGCCCCAAACTGTGACCTTTTCTGGATGCATTGGTAGCTCTTGCAATGCTTCTGGCTGATCTTCACTCCAAAATCGACAACTCTGCTTATTTACGCACCCATTAAGCCAAAAATTAGCTTCGAAGCTTTCTTAACAGAGCACGCATTTTGATAATAAAATTCAATAATTTGCAAGCGTTGTTCGTTGGTTCTTGGTTTAATTATAGACCAAAATGAAGATGTTTGACGGTGATACAAAACACGAAACGTGTGCCAGCTGTTTAAACCAGTGTTGTCAAAACTATAATAGCTAAAAAAATTACCCTTTATATACATATATATTGCTATATATTTGTGCTATATTTTCTATAAGTTAATCAAAGGTTTCTGATGTACTTTTACAGGCCTATTCTCACTGTTACCGCTAAAGTAAATTTTGTTACTTTTCTTTAACACCCGAAATTGAATTTGGTATTCTGGCGAACTGGTTACAATGTTTGAAAAAAATTTGGCAGCACTTCTTTTTTCGTCCATGTCAAATTACATTTGCCAGATGATAAAGTAAAAAGAAAAATATTCACATCGAAATGGAAGACGGTGCACAAAAAAATTAAAACATTTTATTAATTTGCTTATTAAATTATAAATATTTGAACCTAATTATGGAAAATATGCCTGGACAACAAAAAAAAGCTGTATGAAAACGATAACTTACAAATTAAAGGGCTATTTTTTGTCTCGAAAGCTTCTTTAAATACGGCTTTTTGCCCTTTTTTCTTCATCTTCAATGAATTCCAGGCCTAAAATATGCCTACCCATTTTGGATTTTATTTTTTCTGAAACTAACAACACAAATGCAAACAGCAGATATTTTTGTTACCTCCTATTTCACTGGTAGCAAAATTTACAGGGTGACAGTGAGCTCAGAAAACGAAATGGTAACAAAATTTACTGAATGGTAAGTTTTAATACCTAGGTAAATTTTGTTACCTCGACAGAATAGGCCTGTTAGAAGAAAAAATAAAAATAAAAATATAACGAATTGACGAATACGACTGTTAAACAGAATGCCATGCCAAACGGTTTGAATATACTTGAGGAATTGTCACAAAAGTTGCAAGAAAGAGAAAAAAGAGGGAAATTAGAACAGAAAATACCTCTCTTCTCTCACTCGCTTGGCTTCTGGGACACCAAGGCTCTAATATTTGAAGATACTTTCCTTGAGCATCCATTATTTAATATAATGTGAAATTTCGGAGAGCATGTACAGCAGTGATTAAGACAACAGACACCCATATATGATCTATGGACGCACCCATCTATGACTCTTGCCTACGAGTGGCGGCTGATGATCAGGGAGACTATATTCAATAGTAAAAAAATGCATGAAATTATGTTTCATTAGTACTTTAGGCCGCGAGCTTATCAGCCGCCATTGTAGAAATTGACCTTCCCCTTGAATGAATATTGTTTCAGACAGTACAATAAATACTCCTGAGGCATCTGATCGAAAAATAAAATTGAAATTCTTCTGAAAAGATTCTACACTGTTTCTAGACTTTTTCTGGAATGAAAAATATGACGTTATCGCTAAATAAACCGGATAATGCCAGTGAAATAAACTTAATTATTGATTTAATAATATTCTTTTGTTAGATAAATTAAATTTTTATTTTTATTTTCTCTTTCTTTTAGTACTTTTTTACAGCTGCAGTTTGCTTTTGCTCAGCATTTCAACTATAATCGCTGTGTGTGTTTTATATCTTGCCACAGCCAAGCATAAACGTCATTTGCCAGACTTTTTGAAGAACCTGCTCAATGGTGCTTTAAGTAAATTTCTTCTGTTAGAAAATTTCACATTAGAAGCTGAGCCGCATGTCTCTATGAATAACGGTACAAAGGAGTTAATGGAACATCAATATGAAAATCCCGACAATATATCCGATGCAGCAGGTATAAATGCATCGACTTCCACTTCGGTATCTGCTAATCGATTTATACAATTCGAATGGATTCTTCTGGCTACAGCTATCGACCGTATTGCTTTTCTATGTTACAGTCTTACATTCATAGTTTTGTCTATTTTATATGCCGTTTAAGTGAAATTTTAAATTAGAAAATGTTAAAAACTCATACATACATATATATTTCTTTAAATAAAAATACTCTGAATTAAAATTCGAAAATAAAAATGAGTAGCAAGGTTTAACCAGATTTTTATTTTAATTAAAAAAAAAATTTCTTCGACAGCTCTGTTGCTTACTGTGAAAATGTCTATACATATATAAATGTAGGATGGTGTAATCTTTTAACTAAGTGTCGTTAGGTTGGAGTAGTTATCGATGTGAGCGCATCAATACAATTAGGCCAGTTTAGAACAATTATGATGCCACCCACCACCATTCATCTATTTCGGTTCCATTACAATTTTTTTCCTTTGATGTCTGCTGACATCTTAGATATCGGAACCTAGCTCAACATTCTTACAGTTTCCGCGATACTTCCTGAAAGTAACTACCATCCTCGCTATATGTTGTGCTATTAAACATCGGCCTGCTCATAAGCAAATTATTTGTTTAGTAGTTCGCATGTAGCAAAAGACATGCCAATGCGTTCTTTGTCGGTCGGTAGAAATGTCTTGGTCCTTCCCTAAATGACAAGTTCGTCTACCTTACAACATTTCCCTCAATATCCCTGTGACCAGGAAACCACATGCCTCCTTTAGAGATCGGCGAAAGTCTACCACAATTATTGAGTTTTTTGTAAGAGAGCAAAGTGACTTAATCGCTGCAGTGACCACCATATAAAATAGAGGTCTCCTTGAAATACATGGTAATTATCGGGTAGCCTGAAAGGAAGCTCAAAACGTATGTTTTATGGCAAGGTAACTCCTTCAGCCCTTTCGTTGAGTTCGGTTCCGTCCACATACTCGTATATGTCCATATATATCTCAATAGTGTCGACTGGAGTATCAAAGATATTGCTTCTGTCTTCCCTTCATAATGGATTAATTTGTTGGTAATAACAACTGTTTAGCAGTAATCTGTTGAACAGCAACGATCTGTGTTGCTATGAAATTCTCTCTTTCAATGGGTTTTGAGAGTCTAAATTGTTGATTTTCCCTTAAACAAAGAACAACGAGCGCTGCAGTCTTACAATTCGTTAAGTCCAGTGATGAAATATCTTGAGTTCCCTACACATACGGATTATCTCGCTGATTTCCGAATTTTATTTATTTAACGCAGGCCACCATCTAGTAATTTCCTCCATATAAAAGTATGGTTTTCACAACAGATGTTTGGATCCCGTAAGTAGAGGGCGATGGAAAACTCTTCATATTTACTTATTATGTTGGTTGTCTATTTCATTTTCTTATTCAGAGCTTTGCCTTAGTTCTTAGGCTGACAGAGAGTTGGCAGACTTATTTTCGGTAGTATAAACCTCTTTGCAAAAAGAACCAGCGCGACCACATTTGAAGTTACGCAGAGTCCACAAAGGTTATAGCATTTAAGTACTCTTCGAAGAGTGGCACTTGTAGGAAGTTATCCCTGTATGCTACGTCCATATTGTTTCAAGTTTCAAGATTCAAGTTCCTCCCCAATACAGTTCTGTCCAAAACGATTTTCTACTGAACTCCTTCTCCAAATTGTGGTTTTGCGTGTTGATGTTTTTCCAAAAACAGCTTAATCTAATCCACCTCAACAGTCTTTGGATTTTTATGAGGAGACTTTATTTCATGTCAGAAGAACGTATGTACTCCCTATCGGAGTCCGAACGGAGCTATTATAGAAAAAGTAATTTTTGTTACTTTTGTATGTTGGTCAAACTACGACTCGAACTCTGGCCTTCAGAATGCTAGTACCCAATGCTAACTGCTCGACCATTTGCGGCCGCCATCAATCTTTATATAGTCAGTCGAAGAACAATCACAATTGGCAATAAGTCATCTTCATCCAGTGAAATTGAAAAGTATTCGGCGCTACTTATCTCGACCATGATTTCTAATGAAACTGTAGTGGTCATCAAATCGAGACGCTTATTTTGGCTTTCATGATGGTGCCAGGAATTCATTATCTGCACGAACCTTCAGATATGCCACGAAATTCTGAGTGGTGAAAACTATGTGGAATTTCGAGTCAAAATTAGCTTGACTGATGTGACCAATTTTCTACTCGATGACTACCTCATAACCAAAACTGTCGCATCTGGCGATCGGGAAACCAAAGATTTATTGCTGAAAAGTCTCTTCATAATTGGACCTTAGATAATTGGCGCTTTATAACCGTTAAAGCGATTTTTGGCTGAACTTCACCTTCAATTTGTTGTTGATCTGGATGTTTTTCCAGCAACCTACAGTTCATACTAAACCGCCTCCGAACGGCTGATGGTTTTTTTGATGAGCTTTCTTTATGTCATAAATACACTCGGAGGGGTTGACATTCCCTGCCGATGGGCGACCGGAATTAAAGAATTTAATTTAATTTTTTATTTAAATTAATTTTCTATAACTTATGGACCATCATTGGACCATATTTTTCCGAAAATGAGGCTGGAGCAAAAGTTAAGGTAAATGGATTGCACTATCGAGAGGTGGTTAATGATTTTTGATTGCTTCATCTGGACAATATTGTCTCTCGATGAGGTTTTGTGAACTCACTCCTTGGAACTTCTTCCTTCGAGGCCACGTGTTAGATAAGGTCTACGCCAAACAGACCAGCGTTGATTCAGCATGTATTTAAGATGGAATTCGTGAAGCTATTGAGGGCATACATCAGCCAGTTTGCGTTTTGGTGAGGGATAATTTCATAAAAAGGATACGGTCCTGTAAGGGTAGCCGTGGTCATTTGGCTGATATTGTATGCCCTTAGTAAGGTCATATCTTCCCCTTTACATTGAAATAAACTTCCGATCAATTATCTCAAAAAATGCTATTTTCTTATTATTATTATAACAACAAATTTGAATTCAGTTATTAAAATAATTAATAATTAATTTCTTAAATTATATATTTTAATGAATAAATTAAATTAATATTTTTAAATTATTTAAATATAAATTAGGCCAGCCTTTCTTAATGAACTAACACACTATGGCGCGTACATACATACACATTCACACCCTATTTTTAAAAATATTACAACATGATTACCAGCGACTAAAAATTTGTATATACATACATTAAACTTTATTTAATTTATACAATGTTTGTATGTTCTGCTAACAATTAATTTACATACTTATATATATTACATATATGTTCTTTCCTGTTGGCATTTTCTTTACCGCACAGGTTTTACTTACATATTAATTGCTTAATCTCCTAATGCGTATAATTATGACTTACATACATACATATATAAATATGTTTATGTACACCCAAGTACCTCTTCTTTTTCCATAAACTGAAAAAGGTCCTCAAGCCGCACGCTGTAGGTGGCATGTTTTGGTCATAATAATAATATGCTTGTACATACATAACTACATACATATGTATGACTGTGCTAAGTCAAGTGTTAAGTACCTTAAATTACAAAGGATTCTAGAGTTAATTAAATGTATTTGGTGGAGAACGTGGGTCGTAAGAACCGGACGTGCTATATGTCCAGTATGGGGGCGGGCGTGTAAATACGGGTGGCGGTGTGTTATTGTTATTGTTGCCACTACTTGTCGTAGCACTACTAATCGACGCCGTTGTCGTGCCAGTCCCTGTGCTGGAAGTGTTTGGTAATGGTACTGCCGGTGGCAGCATTGTTAAGTTGGTTGTTGAAGTTGTTGCATTTGTGGTTGAAGTTAATGTCGATTGTTGTTGTTGTTGTAGTAAATTTGTACTTGTCGAATTAATATGTTGTTGCTGCTGCTGCTGCTGCTGGTTGGCTAAACCGATATTTGGTGAATTGGTCATGCCAATGGGCGAAGGGATAGACGTCGTGGATGGCGAAGGAAAGCCCAAGCTTGACGATGAAGACGGTGACGTTAGATCTGTTTGCAGATTATGATAATGATGATGATGCAGACCCAAGGCATGGCTATGATGATGATGGTGGTGATGTTTATAGGAACTCAACATACTTGTAGTGGGATCACAACCCTGTGCTTGCGCCTGACATGCCGCCATCAAGCCGTGAAAGTCGAATTTGTAGGCGTAACGTTTCCCATGCACTTTGGTCATTATATTTTTGTCATAATAATATCTGTAAGGAATGAAAAATATTTAAATCGAAATTCTTGTGCATATCATTCTAAACATATAAATATGTATGTACATAAATACATAAATGAATTTGAAATAAAATATTAAATATATTTTTGTTATTGTCGTACACAATTGGAGATGAGCGGATGTAATGATGTCGTATATGACTAAAAAGAATATATATTTCGAGGACGTGAATACAAGTCTAAAGAAGAATTAAGAGTCATTTCGAGTAAAGCCTTTCTTTTGCCAAACGTAACGCTGCAATATAAAACTGTTCTTCATCAGCTTCTCTACCAAATGTTTCAATACAAACGAGTTTACTAAGGGTTGGGCCGGAATTAGTAGGGTAAGTGTGCTAGTGAACATCATCTAGTAACCGGATAGTGCTGAGGTTTTTACCAAAAAATAAATGAATTCGAAGCTGAATTTAATTTATAACCTTTTTTAAAGGATTTACTTGGCACACGTAGCGTAAACTCTGAAGAAGGTGCTAGTTGGTGAGACATTTTTTAATGAAGAATTACAAATTATTCTTAATAAAAACTAAATTGAAATTATTTGCCGGCTTGAGGTCAATATTAGTTTGGTTTTCCTCCGATATATTTGAGCTACCCATCAGTAACCGTCGTCCAGGTGAATTAGTTTACACGTCCTAACCATGGGGCGTGGAGTTTATGGGATAAGACTCCCTATTTAGGTATCAGGAGGAGCTGAAGCACTACTATACTTATCTACGGTGCTTTGATATAGTGGAAAGCTCTGGACAAAATTACATTCTGGTTAGGCTGGAAAGAGTATACACACTTTCAATGATCAGCATCACTGGGGCACTCAGAACAACACCATCTGCAGCGCTAAGTGCTATTTTGAGCATTCCTCCAGCAAGCCTGGCAGCTAAAACAGAGACAGAGTAGAGAGAGAGAGAGTAGGCAGAGTCTTATTTCGACTCCATTTCATAATGATTAACCCAATTTTCGTATCCAGTAACAATGCGACTCAATATACCAATTTTCTCTTCATTATTCTTCTTCTTTATTGGGGTTGACACCTCTTGAGCGATTATATCCGAATCAACAATATCGCGCCAATCATCTCCTCTTTCCCTGCTTGGCAGCAGTTTGAAATTCCTCGCCCAGCACCTGATTCTTCCAACAGAGTAGAGGTGTTCCTCTTCCTCTGTTTCTACCAGCGGGTACCACATCAAATATTTTCAAAGCTGGAGTGTTTTCTTTCAGTCAACGACATGACCTAGCAAGCTAACCGTTATCTCCTCTTTTGTTGAACTATGTCAATGGCATCGTCAAACTCGTATAGCTCATCGTTCCATTGGCTGCGGTATTCGCCGTCTCTCATACGCCAAGGACCATAAAACTTTTCTTTCGAAGACCGCCGGGATCGATTCATCAGATGTCACCAAAGGGTAGGACGAGGATGAGGAAAGACTTGTAGAGTTTGGTTTTTTTTCGTCGAACGTTTACTTTTCAATTGTCTACTCAGTCCAAAAGTAGCACCTATGGGCAAGAGCGATTCTTCGTTGGATTTCATTATTATTGATACTAATGCTGGTTCCTAGATAGACGAAAATATCTGCGGCCTCGAAGTTGTGACTGTCAACAGTGACGTGGGAGCTTTAGTCATGCCATGATTTCAAAAATGATTGCATCGCATACCTCAACCGTTTCAGCATCATCAATTTCTTCAACTTTTCGGTAAAGTTCCGACGTGGTCACCGCGTTCCTTGCGCGTCCCTTGTTTAAATTAACTGTTCCACTTGCCGATCATGGGTTTTGTCGGATGAGAATCGTCGTAAAAAAATTATATCTCATTCATTATGGGCGCAACTGACTTTCCTTTTATAGTAAGTAAGACACGATATTAAATTTTTTCCACATTTTACTTTTCACTGCTGATTGAATTGCTTGATTTACGATAGCCCAAAAACTAATTATCTAATAACCATTGTCTAATATGAGTCACTGAACTCCTTACGTTCCGTCAGCCCAATCACCAACCTACAACCATTTCCGCGAACATATAAACACTTACTCCTACCTACTGTTCACGTCACTTATAACATTTTTTGTTATTTATTCAATTAATTTTCTTTTTCTTTAACTTAACTTAAATTTGCTTTAAATTTTCTCATTTACTACGAGTGTAATGCGGTTTTTATTATAAAATGAATAAAAACCGCAAAGAAAAACAATGTACATACTTACATATGTATGTATGTATATGCAAGATTATGCGTCTCGTATCACTCTACTCTCCAGCCACACTCTAACCAAATGTTCTTTCTGTTCTTGTATTTGTTTTTGTTTTCAAGTTTTGTCTTGGCCATTGAGCATTTGCGCACCACAATGGAAGCTTTGAACGTTTGTTAACACACTTTCTTACTCGCTCTTACTTACCTTAAAGCTCTACTGAGTTTGTCGTAGTTCATATTTGGTTTTGCCTTTCGCTCTCCCCAACGCTTGGCAACTTCGTCAGGGTCGATGAGTTTGAACTCGCCATTGGTGCCCTCCCATGTTATGCAGCTGGCATTAGACGAATCGGCGAGCAGTTCAAGTAGAAATTGCCACAATTGGATTTGTCCGGAACCCTGGGCAACCAATCGATGGGATGCTGCATTTAGCAGCTGATATGGATCTGTAAAATTAAATAATAATAAAACAGAATGAAAGGTAAAGATTTAATAAAAAGCATTTTTAGTTTGGATATAAAAAGGAGCATACATTTAAGTAAATATATATACTTACACATATACATATGTACATATGTATGAATGTGTGGATTAAGATTAAACTGTATATGTGGGCAAACAGGTTTGAACGACCGCGAACTTTTTATGACCGCAAACCGCAAAGAGAACTCATACACACACGTCCCACACAATGGACATACAGATACATTTACAATAACCCTAATCGGAATGGTTTTGTTTTTCAAAGAAATATGGCGTCGCGAATTGCCTTTAATGTTACCGATAAGTAGCTGAGCTGTATTATTTGAAAAACAACAACACAGCAGAAACAGAAAATTCCAACATCGAATAGTGGTTATGAATCTAAATTTAAAATTACTATTTTTTTTTGCTATAGTCAGATCAAAAGTTTTTTAGGTTATGGTGTTTTCTATCCATCGGTCTAACTCTAAATGCATTTTTATCATTATCAAAATCTACAAGCTCAAAAACTAAAAGATATAAACAAAACCAGAACGATATGATATAATTATAAATATAATTGATTTGATTGGTTGATTGGTTGAAAGTTGGATGGACGGTGAGGACCTGACCGCACCTAAGCCATTGTGCAGGGTCTTTGTGCTCCTCCGCGTACCCCAACTAAGCGTTTCTGAAAAATATTTTAAAAAAATTATCTAACTTGGTTACAGTTTAAGCGACATTTAAAAATGCTGAAGCGTGTGAAGCTAGCGGACCCAGCGCAAGCTAGCTCTTCCGGCTGTTAAGTGCATACTATATCCATGTGACCTAAAACCTCAAGTGATATTCACTGCGTTTTCCACGATAGTCTGTTAATTGGACTTTGTGTTGACAAACTTAATTGACTTATTAGACACTTGCATGTCTACTGTAAACCTGGTAGCTTTTCCCATTAAAACGATTAGAAGGTAGTCATTGAGATTGTAGCTACCTTGATTATTGGGCTGGTCCCAAAAGAACCATGCTACTATGTCTAAGGTCCATCAGTATAGATAAGAATATTTGAAATGTTACCGATGGGCCTGTAGATGACCTCCACTCGGCAAGCTCCTCGGTCATATTTTACGTTTAGACCGAGTTATTGTTTAATTGTCTGGATGCCATAACAATTTAGGGACTGAACCCAACTGCTTTTTGCATCGCTTGAATGTTAATTTGTATAGGGACTTTGTTAAAGTCTTTCTGTTGTTGTAGCCGTAAAAATATTCCCCAAAGTGGTTTTTATGGAATGTTGCAGAAGTGACAGCCCTTTACCGGATAAAAATCTGAGCCGTTTCGGTATAAAGACTCGACTGTTGCGAGAACTTTTTTATTTTAGTCACCTCTTAGGGCAGGTATGCCTTACTGCGGAAAAATTCTTGAACCCCTATTCCACAGGTTCCTTTTGGTAGTCCTCATTGCGCCTGTTATACCAAGTAGACAGGTATGTACGTTGCACCTATTCCAAGGATTTTATAGGACACTTCTTCTTTAATGTCTTTCAACACACTAGTACGACATATGTTAATATGGATCTCATGAGACTTATGTAAAGCCAAGGCAGCGTATGGAGATCCAATCTGCTGATACTGCATATTTAGAGCGCTTTTTTTATGAAGAGTTCCACCAAGATACTTAACAAAGTTCGAGGGAATTATATATAATGTTAACTCTTGGAAATAGTGGGTTCAATTAATTATTTAATTTAATAAAAATAATATTTAATAAATAATTATAATTAATATTCTTTTTCCAATTAGCTAAACTGATATTGATAACAGATTTGTTGGCGACAATCTCATCAAATCGCAAATGTTGATATAATCGGAGGAAATTCATTGGAATTGATTTCCATCGACTTTTATACTCGGAATCAAACAGGTATCCAATCGAAATTGAGAAATTCGAACAGAAGAAAATCTCATTCGAACTGTCAAATTGCAAAGGTTCCCTTGATGGTTTAATTGTTGTTACTGCGGAATTTGATTAAAAGTTATAAAAATGAAAAAAAGGAAAATGTAATATGTATGTGCGGTCTGTATGCATGTATACTGAAATTGTGACGTAGATGCTTAAGGCAAAAAAAAGTATTATCTCAGCTCTCAAGACAAACTTTAACCAAAATTGCCGATTAATTTAGGAAAGTCATTAAAAGCAAACAAAAAAACCCATTTCTTATTAATATTTCGCTTCATAAAAGTAAAATTAGAAGTCCGAGAATTCCGATAAATCGATTTATAATATAAAACAACAACAATCAAACAATTTGGCAATCGGCATCAAGGAAAGGTAAAATTTTTGGAATATAAATTCCGAATCGAACCGATTTCCTTATTCCGATAAAGATCGAATTTCAGAACACACAGATTTCGGCTAATATCAGTGCGGCAATGGAGGAACTCCAATCGAAATCACTATTAGTTTTGGTCGAGGTATTAAATGAACTGAGCGGAGGATTTCCGGTTTTGAAGAAATACTGAATATTAGACCACGAAAGTAAAAGTATTTTTGAAAATGTTGTCGTTTGGAATTTAAATCGGTATTAATATTCATTGTAGAACAAAATAGGAATATGGTCATTTTCCACATGTAAGTACCAGAATTTATACCGAACGAATCAGTATGATAAGTTTAGTAGATTTAATTTTTTTCAAATTTGAGATTTGGTATGGAATTGGATGAAATTTGGTATGCAAATTATAGAAAATTAATTTAAATAAAAAAATTAACAAAAATAAGTTTTTCTAATTGGGGTCATCCTTCAACATGGAATGTGAACCCGTCAGCAGAGTGTGTTTGTGGCATGAAATAAAAGCTCCTCTTGAAAAACTATCAGCCGTTCGGGCTTAGTTTGTTGGCCAAAAATCTCTAATTATAGATATAAATATACATAAAAGATAAATAAATATATAAAATATATATTAATATTTATTATACACAAAAGTAAAACATCAAAATCTTATTCAATGATATTCATCGGTTTACTCAACAGTGGAATCTAACTAAAATTTACTCAAAACGATTTCAACATTACCGAAAACAAAAAACTACAAAATTTTTATTTTATTAATTTTACCATAATTGTTTATTAATATATTACATGGATGTGACATAGAAGCTATCAGCCTAAACATTTATCAGGTCATCATATTATATGTGTATATACTCGTATGCCATACTGATATGCTAAATTAAAAAGTAATTGAATTAAAAGTAATTGTATAACCGTTTAAGCTGATAATAACTGATCATAACTACGTAACGCCTATGCGGACCAGCGACTTTTTAAAATACTGTATGATTAGTTAAAATATACAGGTGATTTTTGTTTTATTAATTGCTACTGATATGTTATTATGATAAGATCATACAACGAGCGATGAGTAAGAGAAGTGGGCTATGAAGTTCCCCTATAAGGTTCTCCTACAGGTGTTCAAAATATTCCCACACTCAAAATATTCATTATTAACAATTTTGTTATCATAACGTTTTAACAATAGGCGGCAGACACATTGGTGTCCCACTACTTATCAGCAAGGGTATATATTGTACCACTGTGAGCAAAAAGCAGGGTGAATTTGTTTGTAAAAGTAAAAATCTTTATTTATTCTTCTTTCAAAATTGTCCCCTGCCGATGCACTGCACTTATACCAACGCTTTTTTCAATTATCGAAGCATGTCAAATAGTCACATTCTGGTATGACCTTCAGAGATCGCGCCGTTTCATGGTTAATCTCCTCATTCGACTCAAAACGGTATCGTTGAAATGTTTTTTTAAGTTTTTGGAAGAGCCAGAAGTCACATGGTGCTAAATCCGGCGAATACGGTGGTTGGGGAACGATATTCGTAAAATTTTTAGCGAAATGGTCACGAAGAATGAGTGTTGTGTGCATTATCGTGATGCAAAAGCCGCGAAGGCACTTTTAGTGGTTTAGTGAACACAAGCGTAAATGCCAATGATGACATTGACATGAAGATTTTGCTCACAATAGTATGTACATATGTGCATACGTGTATGTATAAATAAATTGATATCATTTGCGTTTGAATGTTCATAAAAAGTATGTGTAATAATAGCATATTTATGCAGAGAGGAGGTTTCTGGGCATTTACATATCTAAATATATATGTTCTATATATGTACATTACATATTATTTTCAACTATTAATTCATAATTTTTAATGATGATTAGGTAAAATTAAATATCTACCCACGATAGTTCACAAGACACATAATAATATTTACTTAGCTTTGCCAGCCGCTGTTTGGAATTGATTCCTTAAAAAATTACATACATATGTATACATTCATAACACTGGACAATTGCTATGAGTCATATTTAAATAGGAATTGCGAATATCCACCATCTAGATAAGCATGTAAATATGTATTTGAAATGTGATTACCAAAAACATTAAGTTCAAAGCCAAAAAATTACAAAAACCACATTTATAAGTATTTGACTATTTAATTACGTTTAGATAAGCATTTACCAAAAAAATACATTGAATGAGGTGATTATGCACACACCTGCAATCTTAAGTGCACTTGTACACTAGTGGCCGTGGAAATTAATTTACAATATATCTATATGTAAATGCAACTTCCTGATCGTGTAACATATCACTAATATATGTGCATACGTATATAATATGGCAGGAATTTCATTTGTTGCTTTCTTCATATTTCAAAAATAATTCCGTTTAAGCATACCTCAATATAAATATGTGTATGTGTATACTTACAAACGACGTAGGTATGTAGGTAGGTGCAATTTGAATTATTATAATTTCCTTATATATATTTAAATGGGTGAAATATTTATACATACGTACAATGAAATCCAACTAACGGGTGATCAAAGTAGAGACACTTTTTTCCATAGCCTTTTTTTTAACAGAACACGCGTGAGTCGTTCCAAAATACAGTTTGTGCAAGAACTGA